ATAAGTGAGTATTATACATTATATGATATATTTAATACATGATGATCAACAAACACATTCATGCTTGTATTTTGATTAGGCACTTTTAGCTGTGTACTTTCATGCTGGAGGAGAAACTGCACTGGCCCAGAAATGCCTGCTTAGAGCACGTCTGCTGATGCTCACAGTACACGGAGAGGATCACCCTTACATTGCTGTATTGGATGTAGGTTTATTATATTAAGTCACATTTTGATTTAGTAATATGTTAAATAATATTGTATTATCCTGCAGAGTTGTCTGGGGCTGCTGATGACAGGAAGTCACTCAGAGAAATTCCTTAAGAGTGCTCTGAAGATCAACATGTCCTTCTTTGGGTCTTGTAGTCTGTACACTGCTCTCAGGTATGTTTTCACCCAATGACATCACTGAATATAAATGTTGTTATCAATGACATGTTTATTTTGTTATGTAGTCAGCACCTCTTGGCACAGCATATGAGTAGTAAAGGTGACTACAGAAGTGCTATGGCCCATGAAAAAGAAGCTCTTACTGCATTTACTTCTATGGTTTGTTTTTGATGTCGGATTATGTGTCATGTTGTTGATCCATCTCAGAGGAGTGCACTGATAGTAATTTTCTGCACAGTTTGGAGAGAATCATGCCCAGACTCGCTGCAGCACAGAGTTCCTGAGCACGATTACCAAACAAGCTGTGCGCGTGGAGAGGTCGATCAGACAAGCTGGACCTGAATGTCATGAGCAAACAGTAGAGGTACATTGACTATTTAATGTAGTATTCCACTGTGTCACTTCCACATCACAATAATAAACAACCAAAGTGGTTGAGTTGGAAAACTCATCATTTTACATTTTTCAAGCAGATTGCATTTGGATTCTTTATTTGGCAGCTAACCCTTAAGACGGAATGCTCCTGAATCCAGGACATTGTCTATGCAGCGACCTGGCTTCCAACCAACACTTTTCTTACACATTTTTCTTAATGGTGGGGGGAGGGCTCTTTCAGCCCCTTTTATAACTGAAGAATGGTATATCCCAGGGGTGTCCAAACTGGTCCAGAAAGGGCCGCTGCGGCTGCAGGTTTTCTATCGGACCCAGCAGGAGCAGCGCAGACTCCACGCATTTCCTCAAATCTTCAGGTTAAGACTGAACTCACCTGAGGAAATGGGCGGAGCTGTGACCTATGACCATCACATTTTCAGGAGACTATCTACATGCATAACTGTATAATTAGCCTTATTTGATGATTAAAAACCTATTATGATTACATCATAATAGGTTTTGATTGCCTAAAATGTCATGGCAACTTAAAGAAATATCCAAATTACATCATAAAATGGCGTCATGAATATCGTAAAGTAAAGCTTAAATCTTTCATAACTTCCCAGTAAACTAAGTTCTCAGCACATGATGCACTACTAAATTTATAGGGCATGATGTTCAAATATGTTATTAGATTATTGATATAGATTTCTGGTGCTATGTGACTTGGGTGGCAATCGACCAGAAATGGATTAAGGGGTAGAAAATGGATGGATGATATAGATTAATTGACGTCATCAAATTGGCATAAATTAACTCCAATTCTCCCTCGCTGGGTGAAGGAGAGGTTCTGCAGGTCTTTCCTTCCTGTTGCTGTCAGTGTACAATGAGAACTGCTGAGCCTTTGTCATTCATCTATAAATAAGTAAATACTGCAATCATGTGCAATACTGCAACTTCAGAGTGTCCACTGAGCAATGTCACTTTACTTTATCTACTTATTATCCTGCCCAATATGTACAGTATATAACTGCACTACATACATATATATTTTTTGAAAAATCTGGTATTGAAGCATTTAAAGCTAGCTAAGCTACTGCCCTGTATGTGCGCGGCAACAATGAATTTTCCCCATATATTAACATAACTTTAGTCAAGTTAATGTCAGATTTGTTAATAAGTATTATGTTAAGTGCAAAATATAGAAAGTGCATTGATGAAACTTGTCAGAAACAGTTACCATGGATACAGAAAGTTTCGTAGTCCCAGCAATAGTTGTAAAGGATATTATACCAGGTGAAAGTTGGCACAGGAACTTTTAGCCTCCCCCCGGTCTATTAGGATGATGGGTTTTAAGTTTTTTATTTTTATTTTATTTCTATTTCTATTTCAATTTCTTTCCTCAGTGTCTTACTCCAACAACTGAAACTATTTTGGAGCAGATGGTTCTGGTCACAGGAATCAGAAAGGTTGTACAGAGGTGAGCTTTATTACACATCATGAATGATAAGTCAAATCTGTTGCAGTAATGGATTTAAATGCCCTGAGGTGAGATTACTTTAATATATTTTTCAGTGACAAGTTCCAAGAATATAAGATAAAACATAAGGAAAGAAAAGCTGCAGCGGCTAAAGAAGTCATTGAAAGTTTACTTTCAAAGGCCATCTCTAAGGAGAGTGCCAGCAATGAAGAGAAACAGATCACAACCCAAGAAAAAGAACCCGTGAAGGAGGCTGAGAAAAGTGACATGAATGGAGAAAAGACAGAGAGTGAAAATAATATTTCAGTGGAGACAAAAGATATGGGTACAGTTAGTGCTGATGCGGGTGGATCCGAGTCACCTATAGCAAATGCAGAGACCAAATCAAAACAGTCGGACAGACAAGATGGAAATATCAATGGGGCCGCAGAAAACTCAGCAAGTCCAACTGCCCATAAGGCCATGACTTGGGCCGATGTGGTCTCAAAACCAGTTATTGCAAATGGAGCAGCAGCTTATGTCCCAGTGGATAATGGAGGATCGGAGACAACACAAGGCTGTGAGCCTGAAGAATAAAAAAGGCTACAAAGTGGTCATGCTGCATTCAGCATCGGCATTCTGATTCCAGAAGAATGAAGAAAACAAAACTAGTTAGAAGAAGATATCAATCTTAATATGGTTATATGAAAAATGGTTTTTACTTCAATAAACTTTGTACGTTTTTTGGAATTTGTGTTCATTTTTCAGCAGAGACAAATGCATGTTTTGGATTGACATTGTCAAAATGTTCCCAAGTAGGACCAGCCCATATACTTTTTTTTTTCTTTTACAGTAAGTAAATTACAAAGTAAATGTAAATTACAAATACTTTAGATTATCTCAGTTCTATCCTTGCATACAATTTCTAAATCTTTGCAGTATTCATACTGTGGCTCAGACGGGTTTGTCCAAGTCGACTCCGAAAGTTTGTCCAAATCTCCGGCTGGAAAAGTTAAGACTGCAGTATCACTGAAGACGTCGGTCATGTGGGACGGACAAGGGAGAAGGTTTTCTTTACATACAGCTGTTATCTGGCTGATGTATCTGTAGTCCCGGTTAAATTCCCTATCAATTGTCCTGTTCAAAATGAGTCAAGTTTAGAAAAAAAATCACTTGTTGAATATATCAAAATGACACACCTTTCTTTCATGCCACAGAAACTGTTTCCGACAATTAAGATTTCAGTCAGATGTTGTTTGCTCCAGTTTTTCCATAGGAGGTTGTTGTAAAGCGCTTTCCCACAATGCATCAAATAAAAAAATGTGGGTTTTAAGGCTTGCCGCTTTCCTTCCTGCAAACTCACAGAATCATAATTCATTGACTGTTGGGATATTAAAGAATAGTATGTATACATTTTGTATTGTTAAATTAAACAAACAGCAGAAATACCTCATTTTCAATCAACACTGTAAGTCCTATTCTACTTAAAACAGCTTTCTCCCCAGAAGAAAATACAGGATCAAAGACTGAACAGTCACTTGGCCTTATCTAAAAAAAAAAAAAAACACACACAACGTCAGTAGTATGAAACATCAATGAAAAAACTAATATTTGTTTTACCTCCAATGCATCTAAAAGCAGCATTAACATGGCCAGTTGGTAGCGCCCCGATGCACAAGAGGAGAAGGATCCCAGCCCATAACACACACACTGCATTTGTCCAGATGAGCAATTAAGGCTCTGAGAGTCTGCCTTCCTCTTCAGATAACGTTGTTGAAGTTCCAATGTTGCCATTCGCAACTCATCTACAGGGAAAATGTTTTTTGTCCAGATTATTACAGGTTTATACCGCAATACCCAACCCAATTTACACTAGTTCTATTGAAATACGCATATTGTGTCTCTTTTGACATGTTTTAATTATTTTCATATTCAAAGAATAGTAGACATGATATCAGGTGAATCAACAGGGTGGACATATTTTGAATTATTTAACACCAATTAAAAATAATATCAAAATGTCCTTCTAAATGTATATTATATATTTCACTCTCAGACATAAAGGTACTTGTTGACCCGATTAGAATACTATTTTTTTTACATGTTAAATGTCTCTACCTCTCCATGTCCCGTAAAAGGCTTCACATTTAAGATCAGATCTGAAACATACAAGTAATATCATTAACATCAAACGTGACCAAGCATTTGATTAAAAAGAAATACAAATTCTTACGCTGTTTGCCTGAGTCGTTTTTCAACCTTATCAACATCCACATGCTCCTGAATAGTTCCCTCGTTAGAAGACAGTAGAAGCTTATTCTTTTTGGTTTTACCTCTGCCTCGTCGAGCCATCTGCCATCCTTCACTGCCCTCAGACATATTCACGCTATACAAGCAGTAGTAAAAACCAAAATCACAAAGGTTTCTCCACAAACTCCATCGTTTTCATGTAGCTCAGCGGACCGTGTGCGCAGTGTGGGCGCATGTTTCACGTGGGATTGTTTAGACTGCGACACACGTCGTTGTAGTTCCGTGTCAAATAATGGAAATACATATTAAAGATTGTGTGAAAATAACAAACAAACTAAACTAATCACATAATTTTGACTCGAGTATGAGTAATATATTAAAACAAATGATCCCCGGACAAGTGTATTATATAATTTAGAACAAATTTAGTTAACCGGAAACACTTGGTTGTGCAAGGAAACTCACTGGTCTCAATAAACCGTGCGCAATTCTTGTCTTGAGAAGAACGATATGTATTATTAACTTTTATTGGACTTCAGGACGAGTTCTTCGTAGAATTCAAACAGGTCTGATATTTTTTGCATTTGTAATTGATTTACGGTAGGACGGAGTTTACGATCCCTGCCTTGATTTAGCGTCTCTATACCTGAGCCTTACAAAGTTGTAACGTTAACAGTCGTGGTTTGCTTTGTTATAATCCCAGTAATATTCTAAATGGATCGTTATTATATCTTCCCAATTTCGATCCTTAAAACATGAGACGTGAAGTTGAACCGAATAGGAGATAGGAGAACACCCCTACAGTGGAGCTGCAGATGCACTGTATGCATTGCTAGTCATAATGGTCAACAATAAAACATTCTTAACTCTGACAGCACGTTTATGAATTTGGCATGTTCATGAAATAAGATTTATGCACAGATATCCTTACCTTGAACTAAAATAATTTGTAAACTGTATAGATTGTGCTACAGATGTCTATGTCACATCTGTATGGACGGAGAGACGAGGAGGATGATGGGGTGGAGGTGGAGAGTTTTGAGGTGACAGAGTGGGACCTGGCCAACGAATTCAACCCAGACCGGCGCAGAACAAGACCTACAAAAGAACAAGCTACTTACGGCATATGGGCTGAAAGAGACTCTGATGACGATGAGAGGCCTAGTTTTGGTGGGAAAAGGTAAACTAATCAGTGAAAATACATGTACATACATGGTTTGAGACCATAAATATGTGTTTTCCCAGGACCAAAGACTACACTGCTCCAGTTAACTTTGTCAGTGCTGGATTGAGAAAGACTGGGGCTGAAGAGAAACAAAAGCCAAAAGAGGAAGATGAATCAGATGATTCAGAAGATGACACCCCACCTGCCAAACTCCCTCCACGGGAAACGGCACCAAAAAAACTGCAGATGGTAAAGCTTGCATGGACGTCAACATTGAAAAAGAAATATATATGTATATATATTTGTTTGTAATAAGTCTTGTAAAATCTATAATAAATTGTTTTCAGGGAAATTTTCGAGGAAACCAATTCCAACGGTTTGCTGGTCAATCTGGACAAGGGATAGGCAACTGGGAAAAACATACTAAGGGCATTGGACAAAAACTTTTACAAAAAATGGGATACCAACCTGGCAAAGGATTGGGTAAAAATGCACAGGGTAAGCACATGTCATCTTCATACTAGGGATTATTTGGACAATACATTTTGAATAGCTTGTCTTGAAATGATTAAATGCTCTAAATCGTATTACTTGTAGGTATTATAAACCCTATTGAGGCCAAGTTGAGGAAGGGCAAAGGAGCAGTTGGTGCATATGGGAATGAACGTACACAACAAAGTCTTCAGGACTTTCCAACAGTAGATTCAGAAGAAGAGGAAGAAAAGGTATATTGTATATTGTATACATTTTTTTGTTGCATTGAGCAAAATCCTATATCCAAAGTCCATTATTGCTTTCAGGAGTTTCAGAAGGAGTTGGGACAATGGCGCAAAGATGCAAGCAGTGGAACCAAAAAGAAACCTAAGTACTCATACCGAACAGTGGATGAGCTGAAGGCAACAGGCAAACTGGCTGGGCGAAATACTGTCACAACAGCGGGAGAGTTGGCTCAAGTGAAAGTGGGTCTTTTTTTTTAAGATTTGATTTTCCTATCAACTTTAAAACATGCTGTACAAAATGTTGTTGATCTTTTGTTTTTGCTTTTAGGTAATTGATATGACTGGTAGAGAGCAGAAAGTGTATTCCAGTTACAGTCAAATGTCCAATAAGCACAACGTTCCCGACGAAGAACCTCCAACGTCAGTAGCCAGGGATCAGAAGGGATCTGGATTTTCACTCCCTGAGCTTGAGCATAACCTCCAGTTGCTCATTGACCTCACTGAACAGAACATATTGCAGGTATGAAAATGTTAATATAGTACTCTGTTAGTTAAACGCTTGTCCATAGAAAAAAATGCAATTTCTTTGTTTTTTCTTTTTTTTTTACTAGTCTGCAAGGCGTCTTCAGCATGAAAAAGATATGGTGACAACGTTGAATCATGAATCAAAAACCTTGCAGTCCAGACTGGAAACAGAACAAGCTGCAATAGAGAGAATGGAGGCTGTTCTGACTTTGGTGGAACGTTTTCCGACTGGGGAAACTGCACCCGGAGAGGCTCCCACTATAAAGGTTGGTCTATTTTATACACAGGATGTACTGTACCATTAATGGATGTTGTTTGCAATACAATTTCATTGTATTTGTTTTTTAGGAATGTGCTCAAATTTTTGAAACATTACAAACTGAGTATTATGAGGAATATAAGACCATGGGACTATCCGATCTTGCTGTTGCTATTCACCCGTTGCTGAAAGAGAAACTTCATTCTTGGGACCCATTAAAAGTACTGATTAAGTGATATTTAAAATATATATAATATTTTATAATTGGTTTCTGATTTAATTATGAACATGTTCATTGTACATTTAAATGATATGATACATAATCTTTCAGGATAGCACTTATTGCCTTGAAGACATCGGACAATGGAGAGCTATCCTTGAAACGAGAAACATTCACTCCAACACTCCAGACGCTAACATGGATCCATACCACCGGTAAAGCTACAACTAAATGATTTGATGAAGATTAATTCATTCAGAACTGTACAGTTTTGCTATTGTTTTTTTTTTTTTTAGGTTATTATGGGAAGTATGGATCCCTGTGATGACAACATGTGTATCAAAATGGCCACCTCGCAATGTTGGACCAATGGTGGACTGTATTGAAGTGTGGGCGCCCCTCCTTCCTCAGTGGATACTTGATTATGTACTGGAACATCTCGTTTTACCCCATCTCCAGAGAGAGGTCAAAACATTTCTATTAAGAAGTAAAGACACTGAGCATGTGAAAAAAAAATTATATTTACATTGTCTTGAATACATATTTTCAGGTAGATAATTGGAACCCATTAACTGACACCGTGCCCATACATTCCTGGATCCACCCATGGCTACCGATGCTTCAGTCGCGTCTAGAGCCACTTTACCCCCCGATCAGAAGCAAACTGTCTAATGCACTGCAGAGGTGGCATCCTAGCGACGCATCGGCTCGTCTTATTCTGCAGCCCTGGAAAGATGTTTTCACACTGGGAGCATGGGAAGCATTTATGGTGAAAAACATAATTCCAAAACTGGGTATGCAATTACACAAGTTTTATCACTATATAGTACTCTTTTCTTTAGTACAGATTATAATGTTTTGACTATTTTCTTCAGCCTTGTGTTTAGAGGAGCTTGTCATTAATCCTCATCAACAACAGATGGAGCCATTTAATTGGGTCATGGATTGGGAGAGCATGCTTTCACTTTCCAGTTTTGTGTCTTTACTGGACAAAAACTTCTTCCCTAAGTGGTTGCAGGTCAAACAAACAACCCACTATACATCTTCCTAAGTAGATATTGCAAGTTTGTGAATATTATTATCATTTTTTGTCAATAGGTATTATGTTCATGGCTGAGTAATAATCCCAATTACGAAGAAATCACAAAATGGTACCTCGGCTGGAAAGGCATGTTCAGCGATGCCATGCTGACACAACCACTTATCAAGGAGAAATTTAATGAAGCTTTGGATATCATGAATCGAGCCGTCTCTTCGGGTGTGGGTAAGTGTTCATGAGTGTCCTTTCAGCCTTTTTGCATTATACTTTACACTGACATCTAATGAATTTGTTTATTCAGGTGCATATATGCAACCTGGGGCCAGGGAGAATATTGCATATCTTACTCAGACGGAGCGACGAAAGGACTTCCAGTATGAGGCAATGCAAGAGCGTAGAGATGCTGAGAGCGTGGCGACCAGAGGTTTCAACACCAGTGTCCCGACAAACTTCAAAGACCTTGTACAGGCCAAAGCGGAAGAAAACAACATTGTGTTTATGCCGCTTGTCGCCAAGCGTCATCTAGGAAAACAACTGTACACTTTTGGACGAATTGTAATTTACATAGACAGGGGAGTTGTGTTTGTGCAAGGTGAAAAAACGTGGGTGCCCACATCATTACAGAGTCTTATAGATATGGCCAAGTGAGGACAGTTTGCAAATGGTATAACAGCCTAAATGTAAACATGTGTAAATGTTTTGATGAAGTGAAATAAACATTTGAATCAGTATCAGTGCTGGTAAATGGAACTTAAAAATAAATAAAATAAAACTGGATAATCCAATGTTGGGTTACAGCTGCTGCCAAAATCCCTCCTTCGGGCTTTAAAAAAAATACATGTTATGAGAATGTTTTTACCCCCGGTTTGGTCAACTGAAAATGAACACCTCTTTTAGCATAATTATGGAACAGAAACGGGAGCTTTTCTGAAATCCTGTTCTCGTAGTAGATGTTTCTAGGAGGAGCCAGTAGATGGCGCAAGTCTTTCTTCCCGACTATGGCCATTGTACGTCATGATTCTGCGGGACTTCCTTCCTGACGGAGCTGCTGTCGTCCACCACAGCGTTGCTTTGTGATCTGTTTCAAACGGTTTCGGATAAAGAGCGTAAGTGTTGAGTGTTTACATATGCAGAACTGTTCTAGTTTTCTGACGTTCACTTATCATTTTGCCCTTCATTATGCTCCCAGTGCATGCTATATGGTTAGCTCGCTAGCCAAAGAATCGATCACTCTCATGTGTTGATCTTGCGTATGTATCTTCCTGGCATCAATAGAAAGCCATAGAAACATGTCGAAACGAAAATCTAAGGTGGTCCGCAGTGATGGGGGGACACCCGAAGTGAAGCGCGGCCGCACGGAAGGAGAGCCGCAGGTTTGTCGTGGAACCACTTTTACCCAGCACTTTGTGTCTGCAGCCTGAATCTAGAGAAACTGTTTAAATACTTATGCAGGATGTTCGTGTTTACAATGAGGAGGTGGAGTTGGACAATAGAGACCCCGAGCAGGACTTTCTTCAATACAAAGAATCTTGTGAACACTTGTCTACACTGATGGCAGAGATCCAAGAGCTGAAGGCCAATGGAGCCAAAGATGGGGTTTGTAGTATGAAGACAAAGCAAACGGTGCATTTATACTATTGATGAGAATTGATTTGTACAAATAATTATGTCTTATCATTAGTCACTTGAGGTTGAGCGGAAGCGCATGCAAAGCTGCATCCATTTTATGAACTTGAAAAAACTGAATCGACTGGCTCACATGCGACTGAAGCGAGGCCGAGACCAGACACATGAGGTAGGTACCAGAAATAATGCATTGCACTGTTCTCCTGTAGCTGTAGTTACTGAGTTATTACAAGGAGTGTGTTTTTGTTTGTTCTTCAGGCTAAGCAGAAAGTAGATGTCCTTCACCTCCAGTTGCAGAATCTTCTATATGAAGTCATGCATCTTCAAAAGGAGATAAGCAAGTGTTTAGAGTTCAAGTAAGTTAGTTCTTCAATTGTCTCTATACAGTAGGGCAGTTGAATGAATGGTAAACGTGTAATGAAATGTGTTTTATAGGTCCAAACACGAGGAGATTGATTTGGTGCCTGAAGACGTGTTTTATAAGGAGGCTCCATCTGACATCTCAAGGCCATCCTTGACAAAGAATGACGAGCATCAACTTACATTAGCACGTTTGGATTGGGAACTGGAGCAACGGAAAAGGTGAAGAAAACCAAGTTGACATGATCTCCAATACATATTTGGAGAAAAGCTGATTTCTTTGTTTTTTTCCAGACTGGCAGAGAAATACAAGGAATCACTGACCACAAAAGAGAAGATCCAGAAGAGCATTGAAGTGAAGAAGGAACACCTGGAGAGTTTGCATCCAGGACTCAATGCCATCATGCAGGTATTGAGAAATTACATTACGTTGCTTATTGTTGTCTCTCTCCTTTTATTGTTAAATCTTTAAATATGGATTTTTTATGTTCCTTTTCATAGGCCTCGCTTCCAGTGCAGGAGTATCTGTCCATGCCATTTGAGCAGACTCAGAAACAGACAGAGATTGCACGGCACCTGCCTCCCCCTCTCTATGTCCTCTTTGTGCAAGCCAATGCCTATGGCCAAGCCTGCGGTGAGTTGTTTATTCCCTATTACGGACAGCAAATGATTTTAACTGTTTTTTGAACTTGTATCAATGTAGATTTTTCCCTCTCAGATAAGAACCTTTCTGTGTCAATCAGTGGAGATGTGGATGAGGCCAAAGCCCTTTCAAAACCACCTGAAGATTCTCAAGGTATTGGTGACTGACAAGCTTTAAAATCCACTGATATTTATTTCTCTAAATGCATGTGTGTGTTCCACAGATGATGAAAGTGATTCGGATGCAGAAGAAGAGCAGGAGAAGACCGTAAGTTTAGTTTTATTTCATCCATTCAAATGTATAAGGCTGCGTTTTCATCTGTGCGCCTCAATGTTTATGGTTTTGTTACTTTAATGCGCTTCATTATTTAAACCTCCCTTCGGTTTGGTTCATTGTTTATTTATAGAAGAGAAGGAGACCCACAACTGGCGGTCAGCTTGAAGAAAAAAGGCGTGAGATGCTGAAAAGACATCCTTTATCTATTTGTGTGGACCTCAAGTGCAAAGGTAAGTTTCTATTGAAAAAAGGCTCCCGCTTGATGTTGATTATTGGTCACAGGAAACCACAATTTTCTTATGTTCAGTTCTGAGTGCAGTTACAATATCGCTTGTAATGTGGAAATTTGACTCTTGGAAATGGTATGTAGAAATAACATAAATATGACCTTGTTACTACCTATTCCTGTAATGGAAAAACCGATAGATTGCAGGGAGATCTGCAGTGTAGGCGTAACTCAATCTAGAATGGTAAAAAGAGAAGATTGTTTTCTAGCAGTTACTTTGTTGTGTAAGCATTTTAACCCCAGTCTTTTTTAACTTATGTACTTTACCCTGTACATAATACTAACATAGGACGGTTTAGTGCGTTTCATATAGTTGAGACTTGAATAATTTAAAAGGCCTCATTGTAATGGCAGCTGTTAAACCTTTAATGTCCATCTTGTGCGTTCCGCTCTTTTATTGCTCTGCCGGATAAAGTATTCCCAGTGAGACCTTCACTCTTAATCAATGACGAGCATACAATACTATTTGTACTGTATTTTACTGATTGTTTTAACGCTTGTCTCCACAGATGGCAGTGTCCTTCATCTGTACTTTTATTACCTGATGAATCTAAACATAATGACTGTTAAGACCAGGGTCACTACTCCCTCGGACCTTAGCACAGCCATAAGTGCCGGGTGTGTAAGAGATTCTCTTTTGGCACTTTTCACTTATTCAGACTTCTCTAAAAGTGGCTTTTTTGTAGAGAGCTGTTGAGAACAGAAACCATCCTCAGCTGCCTCTATGTGGGGGACCAGGGAGGGGAAACTCCAAATCCAGCCAATCGCTATCAGTTTGACAAAGTTGGGTAAGTGTTTTACAGCATCAGGAGCTTAGTGCTACAAAAAAGGGTTAGAACTAACCCTTTTTTGTCTCTTCTGTAGGATTGTTTCTTTCGTGGACTATGTTGATGAACTGGGTCATCCCTATATTTGGGTGCAACATCTTGGTGGCCTACACTTTCCCAGCAGTAGTTCAGAGGTATATTATGCTCTGATTCTAGTAGGTTTGAAGTATAAATGTGTTTAACCCTTTCATGACTGTTTTAGCCAAGTGTTTGTGTGGGAAGTTCCTTGAGTGCCAGCCATATGGAAGCCACCATGAAGCTTCTGAGAGCACGGGTCCAGTCCCGCTTGGCGTTGCAAAAACAGTTTGCATCCTTAGGTAGTAAATTTCTTTCAACACACGTTTACATGTTGACAACTGCATTTGTAATTAATTTTTCCCCCCCTCAGAACACAACATTATTCCAGTTTCCAGTGAGTGTCTGAACCTTGTTCCTGCCAAGATAATTACTCGTTTAGCACGCTGGACTACCACTACTTATCAAGACTATTTGGTATGTGCAGAGATGGTTGACTTTAAGTAGCCGTTATTGTAGTTGCACCAACATACCAATAGGTTGGTGGCCTGACTATGTGAGAGTATCTTGTGTATTATTTTTGTATACAGGCACTCCCATACACAAAACATGTAATTGAAGCGGGCCTGGCAAAGGACAATGACCTGTACTTTATGGGTATTGTTGAGAGGGGCACGGCTCGCCTCAACGCCGCTGTCGTGATGAGCCCCCGCTACCCAGAGACTGCCCCGCTATTCTCTCTGTCGCTCAGCTGGAAGGGAGAGCGCACTGGACGCACTGATGACAACCTAAGAGTATGTAAAGTCCTTCATTTGGTTTTTGTTTAGTTTAATATTCTAATGTGTCTCATTTAATTTCAGGCAGTTGAAAGTGAGGTGAATATGTTCAAACAGGAGCTAATGGGGCCTCGTCCGGGTCACCAGCTCTTCACAAACCAAATGGCTCGCTTGTGCATGTGTCTGGATGTGTATTTGGAGACAGAGGGACAAGATGACAGCGTGGAGGGGCCGAGAGAATTTCCCCGTGAAAAGATGTGCCTCCGAACTGTCAGGTACCAAAGGCCTTCAACTGAATATTACAATAAATTGCTGTTGCAGGAATCTCATTGACCTTACATTGCAGGGGGCCGAATCGTCTAAAACCATTCAAGTACAACCACCCTCAAGGTTTCTTCAGTCATCGTTAAACTCATTTTTATAGTTCACAGCTTGATGACCTCTTGAGTATAACATTTTTCATTAAAAGATATACAAAACACAACTTTTAAGTCTTTGTGTCCTAAAAATAAATAGTTTTGACAATATTAGCGTCATGTCTTGATTTTTGATTATTGTTTTTATTCATTACGTTCATTTATTCCATGGATTTGTCTGCATTGGTAGCTTTCTCCTCGACTGAATCGCAGTGCACTTCAGGTCAGCCAAATAAAATAAAGAAATTAAGTTTTTCATTCTTTTTATTGTTTCATATTGCAGAGTTCCAGCCGTTTATAATTTCCTTTGACCTAGTACTGAAGATCAGAAAGGAATGCAGCAGCTCAACACTGGTCTGGAAGCTACATTACAGTGCACATCGAGCAAATTCAAGACTTTCCTGCGAGTGTCATTTATAATAGTTTACATGACCAATATCTTAACTCTAGCTTGACATCTATACCATAAAGCCCCAGTTGGAATGCACTTGTCCATCATTTGGGCAGTTCTCACATTCCAGTTACATTACTCTCATTCTGCATTCAGTCACACATCCAAAGCTTTGGGGCTGTTGAGCTAAGGCCATACTCGGGAGCTGGGAATTGATTGCTTTTTTTCTATTGCTTGCATACCCTGACAACCATTGATAGTGCTTACCTAAACAACCATAGTCGGTGCAATTAATCCTGTGCTATATACAGTAAGTTGTCGCGTCTCGTCCTGTTGCACTACAATGCAGTTTTATCACAGCTCTACTTGCTATTGGTTCCAGTGGATTTGGCTTTCGTTTCTTTACTCTCATCCTTTTTTTCTTCAGACTTTTTGTCTTCTTTCTTGACATCAACCTTTTCAGACTTAGGTTCAGGCATCTTCTCAGCTTTCTTTGGGTCTGGTTTCTCTGGCTCTGTTTTTGCTGATTTTTGTGCTGGAGGATCCTCTTTTTTAGGCACAGCTGGCTTCACAGATTCATCAAGTTTAGGCGCTGGTTCTTCTTTCTTATTGTTGCTTGCTTTGCCGTCGGTCTCCTCTTGGGGCTTCTTGTCATTTTTACCTGGTTTGTCCTCCTTTACAGGTTTCTCATCTTTTTTCTCTTTGTTTGAAGAGTCTTTGGAAGCCACTTTCTCTGTGCCAGACTTTGGTTCCTCTGCAGACGGGGACTTTTTTGCTGGAGATTTGGGCAATGGGGATTTTTGTGGAGATTTAGTATCTGGAGTTTTATCAGAAGGGGACTTGGAGTTAGTTTCTTTGTCACTTTCACCCTCCTTTTCACCTTGATCGTCTTTGGTTTTATCTTTGTCGTCATCTCCTTTTGTGTCTTCCTCATCATCTCCTTTTGTGTCTTCCTCATCTCCTTTTGTGTCTTCCTCATCTCCTTTTGTGTCTTCCTTATCATCTCCTTTAGTGTCTTCCTCATCTACTTTAGTGTCTTCCTCATCATCTCCTTTGGTGTCATCATCTTCATCTGCTTCTGTCGCCTCTGTAACCTGAGTCTCGTCTGTCTGTTCTTCCGCAATCACAGTGTCAGAAATCTCGTCTCCTTTCACTTTAATGAACCCTGAGAATCTGCGTTCCAGATACGGGTATGTTCCTCCTCCAGAGGAAAAGCGGTTCTCTTCTCCTTCCAGTAATTTCCTGTTCAGATAAAACCAGATGATCAAAAACTGTACATTACATTTGTTTTAGGATTTTAGGTTCTTTCTAGACTATTAAAAGTTTGACCTGTATGCTGCGATCTCAATATCTAGAGCCATCTTTACATTCAGAAGTTCCTGGTAATCTTTTAGCTGGCTGGCCATTTCCCATTTTGTGCTCTTCAAGTCACGGTCCAACTGGTTGATGGTCCCCTACGGTACAAGAACAGGTAGTTAAATTTTTAAAGGGCATGTACCAACAAATGTATAATATGTGTGTAAAGGTCCTGCCTGGAGTGAGTTGAGCTCATCTTGGTGCCTGTCTTCACTCGCCATACACTGCCTTTCCAGTGATTCTTTGGTCCCACGTAAAGTTTCAAGCTCGATGGTGCGATTCTGCAGCTGACGGCGGAAGTCTCCTATCTCTTCTTGAGTCGCACGTATTGCCCCCTGGTTAGACCGAGCAGCCTCAGACAGGTGGTCCATTCGCACTACAACAAATTTTAAAAAGTTATATGTGACGTAATATTATCCAAACTAAAGTGTTAATATATAAGATATGGACCATTTGGTCCTGCCTACTAAACGGCTAACCAACAAATATAACCTTGACACTGATTCACCTGCATTTGTCAGTCTGACTCAGCACACTCCTCTGGGCCCCACTGCTGCAGAGCTGGTCACCTCAGAAAGGTCATTCCCCTAAGACTAGGCCTATTGCAAATAATAGTAATTTGGTATGTACATCTGTATATGGTGGCTGCTCTGATTATAAAGAAAGCTTATAGTAAAAAGCATGTTATTAAACCATTGTTATGGGATGCATTTACTTGCCAGCTCCATCACCATGACTTGCTAAGACGATCAATATTTAGGCAAATGCCGTGGGTCTTACATGATCTGAGTTGTTTTGCCAATGTATACTAAAAAGTGAGTGAAAGCAAACAATGTTGACTCAGCAGTGCCAAGAATTATAGCATAAACTATGTGTTTTGCGAATAAGCTTTCACCCCAGAAGGAAGTTTGTATCTTGTCGATCTTCAATGCTCACCTTTGAACCACTCCTCAGAGTGCATGGCACTGTTGGTTGCATGAGTGTCCAGCTGCGCGCGGATCTCTCGAAGTGCGGTGGTTACGTCCGTCTTGAGCGTGTCTGGTGCGTCGAAGTTCATCTGCGCGCCTTGAATCTGAGCCAGCAGTTCTTCGACTTCCTCTTCGTGATTCTTCTTCAAAAAGGCGGACTCTTCCTCAAGTGCACGAAGTTTCTTGTCCAGTTCTAGTCGCGCAAGGCGACACTCTTCTGCGTATTTCTTCATGGCACGGGCAGCAGCCTCGAGCTCTTCGCGGTTGCGCGCTTCATCCTCCAGCCTGGCGCGGACGTGCTGGATGTCCTCTTCCAGGTGGTCCTGCTCCAGCACTGCCCGGGTCCTGTCCCCGCTCAGCTGTTGGAGCAGAGCCCGGAGCTCCCCCATCTCCCGCTCGTAGTGGTCCCCCACAGAGACGCGCCCGCTCTGGCTCTGGCGCAGAGCCTCTGCCTCCGCCTCCAAGTTGCGGTTGTGCATCTCCAAACTGCGCACCTTGTCTATGTATCCTGCAAATCGGTCATTAAGCGCCTGCAGGATCTCTTTTTCGCTCCTCCGGGTTCCCATGTCCCCATTGAAAATGTCAACACTGTCCACCGAGGACGGCTGGCTGTACGTGAGGCGGCGGCGCTGCTGCGAGTGGAACCCGCTGGACGCGGACGCAGGGCGAGCCTTGCGGTAAGAGCTCGGGCTGAAGTAGTGACTCTCCGCCGTGAAACTCATGTCGGCACAAATGTAGAGAGCAAACTGCAGTAGAAAGGGGAGCGCAGCTTTTATACTCGGAGGACAAAACTCACGAGTCAGCACCGGGAGCTGTCCACTTAAAGGGCCACCATCTGCATACATCCCCTTCAGAAAAAGTTTGACCAGGAACTAAACTACGATTAAAGCCTAACATATGCCCAATGTGTGCCATTCAGATTGGCTATGAACACACATAATTTATTATTTTTCTTGGAATTGTGTATTATGATTACGCAGACCTTTGGGTTAGCATGTTCGACTACAGAATATGATGCGTGACTAATCATATATGTTTCAATTTCTTATTTTCAACCTTTATCAAAATTTGTGAAATCAGCGCAAACGGTGTGTGGGTGTGCTTGTTCTGCAGATGCTTGGAGCCACTGCAGTGTGAGTTTGCAGATCCACACAAACTCCCCTGAGGCCACTGACAGCCCCCTCCCTCTCCCTCTGCACACACGACACCACACGCAAACCTTTATAATACTGTTTTTGGTGCTATAAAGTAATGTTTGAGAATGCCCTGCTATAGTATTTAAACGCTGTTGCCTTTTAGTGTTTTGCTTAAAATGCATGCACGTAGAACTGAAATACAGCTCAGCAGCAGGGGTCAATGGGTTTATTCAGCAAACCACAGAAACGCGCGTCTCCTGTTAACTCCAGTCAGCTTTGCATTTCTCTGCATCGATGCTCCTTCAGTGATGTCTAGTCTTTGACAGTCAGAGGTCAAGACCACAACCTTCACTGGTTTTAGAATAACCACACAATGAAAATGGATTAATTACACAACTCAATTTTCATTGTAGCTTGTAATGTACAGTATCCACATAATAAATGTTGCAAAGAAATCTGTGCTAAATAAAGAACAGAGGGGAAAAGGCAACGCCGATCATTTCAACGGATGATAATCTACGCCATATGACTGCAGATGATTAGACAGGACATGTTATTATATCTAGAGGGATTGAAAGTAAAATTTACACTATATATTAAAAATTGTGCAGTTCAAATTATTTCTTACTTTTTGCTATTCAGATAGAGGAAGGAGGTAATTACTACATGTTTTGGGTAATGTGTGTTATTGTAAATTGCTCGCAGTGCACATTTTCAGAATATAGCCTAACATTTGAGAATATCTGATTATAATACTGACCTATTCAGTCAGTTTTGACCTAGACTAGAGATTTAAAATCTCACACAGCCAACAAGTAAACTTAAGTGTCTTATTTTTGTGGAATGGTGTCACTCACATTTGTTTTGTTTTTTTCTTTGCCAAGTTACAAAAAGTTACAAAAACACGCGTAAACCAAGCGTAATTCTAGGACTAAAGCAGATCAGTAATGATGTAAATATTCTACTGTTGATAAAACCACTGGCAGAGGTGTGTATAAAATATGACAGGACAGACATGCTTACCACACACAAATGATTAATAACATTAGTAATAGTATATGTTACACGATAGAGTATATAATATTTATTTACGGGTTTAGTCTACAAAAAGCTAATTTAAAACGTCTTTAGCGCAATAGCCTACTATGCCCGCCAGGGGGCAACAGAGGCAGAGTCGGGATGCAAAAGAGACATTTCCTGTTGATTTTGAGGGAAAGTTCAATCAGTTGCCGACACGAAGACTGTAATATCTGTCGAGTCTTTACGATGTTCACAATGACGCCTTTGCAGGAGAGATGGATTCAGGAAAATAACGAGCTCGTAACTAAATGGAAGGTGGGAGCGGCGAAATAACACTGCATTGTAGTAGTTTTTGTATAATTTGTGCTGTTGACAGATTTCGGAGAAACAGACGGATGGAAACGTAATACAAGACCAGAGACTGTCAAATCTGAGAGGCTTTTCTACGGAATTTCACAAACTTTTGAGTAAAATACAAGGTCGTGCCTCAAAAATACCATTCTTAATAATTTTGCTGAGTGCCCTTTCAACAGTATGTGTCTCATCTGTGTAGGTGCTCCTTCTCTTTCTGGTGTCTCGCAGTTGGAATTGACCGTGATGTTCAATGCCTGTGTTTTTTCTATCGCTCTCTCTGAGTTTTCTAAAGTGGAGATGATGATTACAGATGTTTTGAATAAAGGTTTGTGTTTTAAACACTGTGATTTTCTTGCATAACTTTCAATGAGTAAATAACTATTTTTGTTTACCATACCCCCAGTTCTTCAGATGTCAGGATGTCTGCCTGTGATCCATCGGAGCACTGACTGTCTTCTGTATTGGAGAGAAGTTACAGAAAAAGCTGTAAATCACATCGATTTAAAGGTCTGCTATGGACGGCTCTTCTGTTTGCAGTGGGCAATATGGGTTGCCACACAGAATTGCCATAATATCTCGCAAATGAAGGTATTTTTGTATAAATAACCATACTGGTACTTTATTCAACTGGCTTGAATGCCTCCCATCCCAATGTTATAAAACAAAATGTAATTTGTTTCATATAGGAGAATACATCATTGTTCATCTTGGCAGAAACAAAAAACAATGAGCAGCTCAACTCTTTTCTATTGGTTCTTGAGATAAAAGAGCTGATTGAATTATTAAATGTCTGCAGCCTAATTGGCGAAGGTTGGTGGTTTTGTCTTTTGTATCTCTTGGCCATTCTTAAACTATGTGTTACGTACTACGTATTTTCCATTCTTATATATTTTGCGTTTATTTGAAAATGTTCTGTTTGAAAGGTGCAGAAAGATTCAAAGATGGCCGGTATTCAGAGGCGTTAAGTCCTTTACAGAAAGCCTCTTCGTTTACTGCTCCCAGGGGGGCAGTGGCCCTTACGCACCTGCTCTTAGGTTCATGCTTTCTCCAAACGGTATCTACGGCACTATATATGATATGAATGTCAACAAGCCCATTGACTTAATTCTGAAATGTTGTTGTCACCAGAAACATCCACAAATGGCTTTGGTATGTTTCCGAAAAGCACTGGAGACAGACGGCCACTGTGTCAGTGCGCTGTATCAGAGCATGCTCATCTACAAGCAGTTAGGCAACAAACAGGCCGAGATCCAAGCCCTCGAGTTGCTGCATTCTGTATGTGTGTGGTTCACATCAGCCACAGCTGTGATCTCTGCTGGCTCATTTGACAATCATAATGTTTTAGGGTACATGCACATTGAAATGCAATGGTTTTATTTCACTACAGGCTTTAAACCTGACACACACCTCAGAATGCATCACAGGAAGTCGTTTGCTTATCTCTTCCGAGTTACTCCTCTCCAGTGCAACCATGAAGAACCTCCTAGAAGTCCCCTCTGCGCAAACTGTTCTTCGAAATCTGGCTTTAAGATGCATACATCATGGAAGGTGAGTCCAGGAGTACAACTTTTTGGTCGCAAACTTAAAAGATGTACTGGTGTATATTTTTTGGTTATTTCAGGGTTGCAGAAGGTGTTGAGTATTATCTTGATTTATTGGTCATCTTTCACACAGATCATCCTTATCCCTATCTTGTAAGTTCTTAATGACAAAGCATCCAGAATAATGTTTCTGAAGACTACAAACTTTTATTGACATCGATTCTATTTTAAAGTCCAATATGGAGGTCCCCTCCCTTCCACGGTTGGCTGAACTTTACCTTGAGGCTGCTGCAGCTCTGCTCATGGTCCAGCGACATGCCGATTGCATGGCACTATGTGAAGAAGTGGTTGGCACAACTCAAGATCTACTGCCAGAAAGATTGGTTATGGAACGGTCAAGTTTAGATGCTGAGTCTGGTGATCCTTTGGAGCATGGTGACAAGGTGGCTATGGTCCTCTGGGCTGGAGCAGCTAAACTCCTCAAGGGACACTGCTACATTCATTTAAAGGACTGGAAGCAAGCTTTGACCCATTATACACGGTTTGTTAAGTTTCTAAGTTATTTTTTGAGCAATACTGTTTTTATTTCATTCAAAATGTTTTCTTACAGATGTTTAGATTTGCTGTTTAGATTGCACTTTAAAAGTAATGGTAAGAAATTGTTTTAAGAATGGCTAAGTCCAAAGCAATGCTTCATACCGTTGATCTATCATTCCTTCTGTAGGATGTCAAACACAGATTCCCACAGATGTGGTTACAGAAGTGGGGTCAACTTTATTCACACTTCAAAGGCTGAAGGCTTTTTCATTGGCTGGCCGTGGGATTTGCTTTGCTCTGTCTGATCTACTGAAAGAAGCTCTCAGAGACCTCCATCTAAGTTTGCATACATTCCCAGGTACAATTTCTTTTCTATTTTTTTTCAGTGATATTGTTCTACATTGTTTAACCGTCACACCTAGGCACATTTGAGGTAAAGTTTTTTGCCTAATTTCTTCATTTAATGCTCAAAATTTTGAAGGGGTGTATTTTAGTTTTCTAATATAAAATGGTGGTAAATTGATATTTATGACTTTATAAATAGTGCCTAAAAAGATACTTGTGATAAAAAATTATCTGTTGACTTCCATTATTTTTTATTTTATTTAACCAGGAAGGGCCCCTCTTTGTTTTTGAAGGGAGTTCTGAAAAATTAAATTTTGTATATATACATATATATATATATTTATACACACGCACACACACAACTCTACTTTGCCAATCACATGGCAGCAACTCAATACATTTAGGCATGTAGACATGGGAAGAAAGGTGATTTAAGTGACTTTGAACGTGGCATGGTTGTTGGTGCCAGACGGGCTGCTCTGAGTATTTCAGAAACTTCTGATCTACAGAGATTTTTCACACACAACCATCTTTAGGGTTTACAGAAAATAGTCCAAAAAAAGAGAAAATATCCAGTGAGCGGCAGTACTGTGGGTGAAAATGCCTTGTTGATGTCAGAGGTGAATGGTCAGACTGGTTCGAGCTGATAGAAAGGCAACAGTAACTCAAATAACCACTTGTTATAACCAAGATATGCAAGAGAGCTTCTCTGAACACAGAACACCTCAAACCTTGAGGCAGATGGGCTCCAGCAGCAGAAGACCACACTGGGTGCCACTCTTGTCAGCTAAAAACAGGAAACTGAGGCTACAATTTGCACAGGCTTACCGAAATCGGTCAATAGAAGATTGGAAAAAGTTGCCTGGTCTGATGATTCACGATTTCTGCTGCGAGATTCAGATGGTAGGGTCAGAATTTGGAGTCAACAACAAGAAAAGCATGGATCCATTCTGCCTTGTATGACCAGTTCAGGATGGTAGTGGGGGTGTAATGGTATGGGGGATATTTTCTTGGCAGTACCAATGAATGAATGATTCTACAAATCATTTGGGTCCTCAAAAATAAGAATGTTTCTTGATGGAATATTGAAAAGTGGGAGTTCAAATTTATTTTAAAAGTATTTTTTCAAAGAAAAGAAGCGATGGAGGGTTATTTGACTGTTTCAGGTTTTCCCATATCAAATATAACTTTCTATTAAATGGTTACGGTAATTCATTTATTGGAAATAATTTTAAGCACAAACCAACACAGGACAACAAACGGTACAGTGTTGCAGTGGACTTGTGCTTCACAGCGAGAAGGTCATGGGTTTGATTCCACCTCCACAACTTTTCTATGTGAAGTTTGCATGTTCTCCCCATGTCTACGTAGGTTTCCCCTACCACTAAAAACATACAATAGGTTAATTAATGTGTGGGCTCCTGCTGTTCATGAATATGCACTGTCCCGTCCAAAAGAGCAAAAAACAGATGAAATACATCAACTCTCTGGACAACTAGTTGTAATGAAAGGAAAATATGTATTTTTTTCTGTAAAAATTTGAGTTTGGTGCTAATATTGGTCTATGCTTTTACATTCATATGTGGTTGTCATTGTGTTAATATCCACAGTTATTGTACTTGAGCTTTGTCAGAATTTACTAAAAGCAGTGACACCTCTTGTCCCTCAAGATGAGATCAATGATAAGGAGAGAGAAGGTATTTCTGATTTAATGTATTTTCAGATTCTGAATTATTTTCATTGCCATTGTAAGTAACAGCAAGTCACAAACTAGAAATTTGCTTGGGCTCATGGTGTAAGACAACAGACATTGTTGGTAATGAGAATCTGTCAGCTCTTTTCCTCACTGCTCCCAAGGTTGACCTCAACAGAAGGTCAATAATAAGGAGCAGTAAGTACATGGAAGGTAATTTTTCTCTCTGAGGATGAGAGCAGGTGGAAAGTTGAAGGCTCCAAACTCTGCCAGGTCAATGAGCTAGACCCCCACAGCCACATCCTATATCTTTGTACAGCAGGCTTCTTCATAGGAAATACTGTAGATATACATTTGTTTATAAAGTTAGAATTTAGAACAAGAAGATATTAACCCTTGAAATTGTATATATGTATGATAGAGTATTATATTTATTATTTAATGTTAAAAGTGCACTAGAAGAAATCAAATTTGAGGAAAAGCAAAAGACAAAATACTTGTTTTGTTTTTCATAGAATGTATCAGTGCTGGCTTATGGTGTGGCGAAGTGCTGTGGAGACTGAAGAGGAGACAGGAAGCAGTCAGCTGCTGGAAAAATAAATTGAGCTTTGCATCTGAGAAGTATGAAACATTTGTCTCTCAGTACAATATTGAAAGCAAATAATCCAATTTCCTGTATTTTTTTGAAAGTTGAACAAAATGTGTAGACTGTTTTACTGCCGATTTTACACCTATTCTTTTTTGCAGAAGTGTTTGTGTGTATTTAATGGAACCTCCAACTGATTTGAACCCTTTGGAGCTTCAACAAAGAATAGAAGATCTTGGATTTGAAGACAGAATTGTATAACATTCCTACTATCATATTCCTGGGTTTCTTTCAAGCATGCTGTATAAAAATATGTATTATAACTATGCGTTGGTGTTATATAGCTCTTTTCTGAACACTCAAAGACGCTTCACATGACTTCAATTTACACCATACACTGTATAGCCACACTTGCCCTGCACGCACACATCCACGTTTTTTTTCTGAAACCCATGAGAATCGTTTTCTTCTACAATGGACCATCTACACAATTTGCTGTAAGAAGTTACATTTAATCGTGTTGCGACTTTTTTTCTGTTCTGTTTTGTTTTAACAAAACAACGAGCTAAGATAACGCGGTGCGCCCCTATTGGATGGTGTAATGTTGTTGACGGGGGAAAATAGCCAATTAAAAGTTGGTGCAATAGCTACTTGCGCAGTACGCACTGTCGAGACTGGCTTGTCTCAGCGACCTGAGTAAAAGACGGTTGTCTGGCCAATCATAATGCAGAATGAGTCGCGCTTGACCAATGAGGATCGAGTATGCTACCAGCTCGTGCTATAACTACAGAAAAGCACGGAAACTAGTGCTCTTTCGTCTGAATTCAGACTGCGAACGTTACCGGTGAAACCTCTGCATCTTTTAGTCAATCAGCGTTTTTATTGTCAGTAAAATCAAGTGAGCGACATGGCTTCGGGAGGGGAGTAAGTACCGTTCTCATGTCATGCCTATCCCCATAGTGACTACAACAAAATGTCATTTAAATGTCTATCAATCGTAGCATTGCAGCTAATGGGGTCAGTGGCAGCCTCCGCACTTCTATCGGGTTGTCGGAAGACTCTTACAATACTGTGAATTATCTGTTGGAGATTGTAGTTCGTTTTACATTGGCAGATTTGCTTATGTCAAGAATCGAATGGTCACTGGTCGCTCCTAGTTCTAGCGCTGTCTCTCATGTTTGACAAAGCACAGTCACCGCTAACGCGTCGGAGGCTAACATTAGCATAGCAAGATAACCAAGGCCAAACTCGTCTGTCTCAAATGACCAGGCCTAGTTAACAAATGCATACATTATTGTATCCAAACGTTAATGTAAACCAAACTAAACTCCAACAAAGGCCACGAAGAGGCTTTATTATCGCGTGGCACTTTATCCATCTCCAGGCTAGCTGAACTAGCGACCGGTAATGCTAATGTGTGGGTACCCTAGCTTCAGTACAGTACACAGTCCGAGGCTAACAGTTCAAAATAACTCTGGAAAAGTCCGAGATGTACATCCACCACTAGTAACGAATGGTCGACGGCCGTTACTTCACATTCATATAAGATCTCACTGCAGCGTTAAACATCCCGTTTTCCTTGCGACGCTACCTCCTAAAAGTTTTTTTCTTTTGCTGTGTCATCTGGTCCATTCACTTAGCCTGTGCGCTAGCATGCTAATGGAATGAAAGCGAAACGCTCAGGGCAGATGGCAATGTTCTAGAAGATTTAGGTTCTTGCGGTTTATTTTCAACGAATGCGTTGTTTACGTAGTTAAAATAACTGCGATACTAGTGACCGTGACGAATAGTCTTACCGACTAGCGCTTGAATTATTAATAATTCGTTAATGATTGAAGATGATGGCCACCCGTACAAATCCAATCAACGCATGTCAAAACAAGTGTGACAAGTACATTAATATATATGTATGTGTCTGTATGTGTGTAATGTATATGTGCACTGATTATGAAGTAAAATGCTACAAGTTGACTGAAATACTTGTTTTTGGTTTTCTACTCTAGAACTAAAAGTGACGATTTAGCAACTGCTATTCTCAAACAAAAGAACAGACCCAACAGACTTATTGTTGATGAATCCATCAATGAAGACAATAGTGTGGTCTCACTTTCTCAGGTACACCCACACATTTAAGAAAAACATGTGTTGTGTTTGTTATATATATATTTTTTTCTAAACTTATAATTTTATTTTATTTTTTTTAGACAAAGATGGATGAGCTTCAGCTTTTTCGTGGTGACACAGTGCTGATGAAGGGAAAGAAGAGGCGGGAGACTGTGTGCATCGTCCTTTCTGATGACACCTGCTCTGATGAGAAAGTCCGAATGAACAGAGTGGTCCGTAATAACCTGAGGGTACGCTTAGGCGACGTCATCAGGTAAAGGCACACTGTTTTTGCCACAGTTTGTCCCTGTCTTTGTTGACTATAATCTTTACACTCTTTACACACTTTACATTCTTTTCCTCAGCATTCAGCCCTGTCCTGATGTGAAATATGGAAAGCGGATCCATGTTTTACCCATTGATGACACTGTTGAAGGAATTACTGGAAACCTTTTTGAGGTTTACCTCAAGCCATACTTCCTTGAGGCTTACAGACCAATTCGCAAAGGTATGTTCAACATGGTGCCAAAGTGGTCCGTGAATTATTACAGGTTTGTTTATAAATTTATAGGTGACATCTTCTTGGTCAGAGGAGGCATGCGAGCTGTGGAGTTCAAAGTTGTGGAAACTGACCCTTCCCCATATTGCATTGTGGCCCCTGATACTGTAATTCATTGTGAGGGAGAACCAATCAGAAGAGAGGCAAGTAAAGCTTCACCTGGATGAAGTAGCAAGGTTGTTGAAATCATTACACATGTTAGACTTTCATTTAATTTTGTCACTCAGGATGAAGAGGAAAATCTGAATGAGGTTGGTTATGATGACATCGGAGGTGTGAGGAAGCAGTTGGCTCAAATTAAAGAGATGGTGGAGCTGCCTCTTAGGCACCCAGCATTATTCAAGGCCATTGGTGTCAAGGTAAGGACAGTTTTGAAATTTTCTTTAAACGTGTACGTGGGAGCTATATTGGAGTGTTTTTGTTTTTAGCCACCACGTGGAATCTTGCTTTATGGACCCCCTGGAACCGGTAAAACATTGATTGCCCGAGCTGTGGCCAATGAGACTGGAGCCTTCTTTTTCCTTATCAACGGTAACATGTTATTATAATGCATTGTTACAAATTAACTTAAGTACTTTTTATTGTTGCTGTTCATGATTTAAATATCAATTATTGTGTCCGTAAAGGTCCTGAGATCATGAGCAAACTTGCTGGTGAAAGTGAAAGTAACTTGAGAAAGGCTTTTGAGGAAGCAGAGAAAAATGCACCTGCAATTATCTTCATTGACGAACTGGATGCCATTGCACCAAAAAGAGAGAAGGTTTGTTGGGAATAGTACAAATGTTAACAATAATTGTTTAGTGAGATTGGTCTTGTGTGAACTACTTCTCTGTAGCATGTAACGATGTATCCAAAATATTAAATCAATATTAAATGTAATATAATGAATGCCAAGGCATCTGAACAACCACTACTGCATTCACCTGCAAGAGCCATGCTTTTACTACTTATACGCTATTTACAACTTTGCAGACTCATGGGGAAGTGGAGAGACGGATTGTTTCTCAGTTGCTGACTTTAATGGATGGGCTGAAGCAGAGGGCTCATGTCATTGTAATGGCTGCCACAAACAGACCTAACAGCATTGACCCAGCCCTGAGGAGATTTGGTAACTTTCCTAACTATTATCATACTAGTTACATTCTAGATTCCTCTTTGAAAAATAAAGTGTAATGTGCCTTCTTCACAGGTCGTTTTGACAGAGAAGTTGATATTGGCATCCCTGATGCTACTGGCAGATTGGAAATCTTGCAGATTCACACAAAGAACATGAAGCTGGCAGATGATGTGGACTTGGAGCAGGTATGGGTTTCATCTTTTTGATCAGTTGAGGGGATTAAGCAGAACTTGATGAAAATAGAATTAAAATGTTTTATCAAGAGGTGCCTTTTAAAGCCCACTCCTGACATTAACTGGAAACCAGAGATTGATAATTGACAAGAGATTCTGGCAACCACATCCAGATTTGTATCAATATTTGTGGATATCTACTACCTCCTATATTGTAATAGAGCTTTCAGCACAGCTCAAGGCACACGAGAACTGTGTAAAGAATTACAATAAGTCACCAGATTGGTCACTACTAGCACTTGCTGATTTTTGCCGACGGGTACAGACAAACTAAACCTGCCATTTAGTTTTGCTGGTCTGATGTGGGGTGAGTATGGCAGACTTGCAGGACCAACTAGAGTTTACAGAATCGTGTTAAAACAAACCAGTCAAGGAAAATTCACGTTGTAGCAGTGTAAAACTTGCCCTTGTGATTATCTTGAACAACCACCTTTTTCAAATTTGACATTACATTGTTTTATTTTTCTAAATCTTATTGTCATTCATAGGTTGCCAATGAAACCCATGGACATGTTGGTGCCGATCTGGCTGCTCTTTGCTCTGAGGCTGCACTGCAGGCCATTCGGAAGAAAATGGATCTTATTGACCTTGAAGATGAGACTATTGATGCGGAAGTCATGAATTCTCTTGCAGTGACCATGGATGACTTCAAGGTATAATTAAGATGTTCTCATATGTGGTCTGTTCAGTTTTGACAATTAACCCTTTTTATTGCAGTGGGCTCTGAGCCAGAGCAATCCATCTGCTCTGAGAGAGACTGTTGTGGAGGTGCCGAACGTCACATGGGACGATATCGGTGGTCTGGAGGATGTCAAGAGAGAGTTGCAAGAGCTGGTGCAAGTAAGTAATTTCTCCTAAAATTTCAGTTTAAAAAAAAAGTTAAAATAAAGTCCTAATTTTTGCTATTTTCTTCAGTATCCGGTGGAACACCCAGACAAATTCCTCAAGTTTGGCATGACTCCGTCCAAGGGTGTGCTTTTCTATGGGCCTCCTGGCTGTGGTAAAACACTTTTGGCCAAGGCCATTGCAAATGAGTGCCAGGCCAACTTCATCTCCATCAAAGGACCAGAGCTGCTCACAATGTGGTTTGGAGAATCTGAGGCCAACGTCAGAGAGATCTTTGACAAGGCAAGTTGCTTGCCGTGTTTGCTTTAAACATGTCAAAGGCTTTGATTTTAATTCTGAAACCTGGTCAAATGTATACTTTAATCTACAGGCTCGTCAGGCAGCACCGTGTGTGCTTTTCTTTGATGAGCTGGACTCTATAGCCAAAGCTCGTGGCGGCAATGTGGGAGATGGTGGTGGAGCAGCTGACCGGGTAATCAACCAGATTCTCACAGAGATGGATGGAATGTCCAGCAAGAAGAATGTCTTCATCATTGGAGCCACAAACAGACCAGACATCATTGACCCTGCCATCCTGAGACCTGGGCGTCTGGATCAACTTATCTACATCCCACTGCCTGATGAGAAGAGTAGAATGAGCATCCTCAAAGCCAACCTCCGCAAGAGTCCCATCAGCAAGGTAATGCTAATGTGGTGCTCTTGCTTGCTTTAATGTCACATGATCATGTTGCTATTTTTATCTTCTGGAAGCACCATCCTAACACTTGGTCCTTTTTAAAAACACAACGCCACATATTTAAAGAGAACCAGTTACAAAGTATGCAATAGTATCAAGCCAAACCTAAGCATCAGTAAATGGTGCTTAAAAACTACTTGTGCAGACCTGTGACGCATTTAGGAAATAAAAGTCTTCTATATTTCTTCCTTCAAACTGACTTGGTTTTCAGGATGTGGACCTGGACTTCTTGGCAAAGATGACAAATGGATTTTCTGGAGCTGATCTTACAGAAATCTGCCAGCGAGCCTGCAAGTTGGCGATCAGAGAATGTATTGAGAATGAGATCCGCAGGGAAAGGGAAAGGCAGACCAATCCTTCAGCCATGGTTGGTACTTGGACCTATCAGACATTACATGGTTGTTTGCGTTTGTTGACTTTGTAGTGTTTTGTAGGAAGTGGAAGAGGATGATCCTGTGCCAGAAATCAGGAAGGACCACTTTGAAGAGGCAATGCGGTTTGCTAGGCGCTCAGTCAGTGACAATGACATTCGCAAATACGAAATGTTTGCTCAGACCCTACAGCAAAGCAGAGGCTTTGGTAGCTTCAGGTGAATTGATTACTTGCACCCTTGTAAAAGATGGTGTATAGTTATGTCATGGCAAGAAACGTGCAGTTTACAACACTGATTCTGTTTCAGGTTCCCATCCAGTACTGCAGGTGGTAGTGGTCCGACTCATGGCTCAGGAGGGGGTGGCAGTGGCCCTGTGTACAATGAAGATAACGATGATGACCTTTACGGATAAATGCCCCTCAGTGGTCAATCCTACGATCGCACTTGTACAAATTCTCACAAAATTCCACACTTTAGGACTTTGTGCTTCTTTCATGTGTTCCTTTTTTGTATAATTTCCCCTGAAGAAAGCATGTAGCCGCTTGGTTTGCCCGGCTTTGTTGTGGGAGGTTTAACAATTGTTAAGACAGATTTTTCAATGGGGAGTTAAGGGGATCATTAAGAGCCTTTTTCTCACCACCTACTACAAACGAATGGTTTAAGTGATGGGATTCTATGCTAGACTATATGAGAAGAAAATATACATATTGCTAATGACTTCCTCTTTTTTAAAAAAACGGTAGCATTTAATGTATTAAAAAATTTGTCAAGGTTATGTTGTTGAATAAAAACTCCAAAAAAAGTTTTTTTTTTTTTTAATGATATGTGTAAATTAGAAATATTCAACTAATGACTATTCAAATGTTTAGTAAGGATCATGAAAGGGAAAATGGGGATGTTCTGCGTCTCTCCACACTCTCTCTCGCCCTCTCTGCAAAGACAAAAGTGATGGTCTATTTAGCAATGAGAAAAATGTATAGTTCCTGTCACAAGAAAATGCTCACATCAACAGCTGGAACAATGAATCTGTCATTGCGGTTTAAGGAGTTTATTTGCGCAATGTCCTCTTCTGATAAGCTGAAGTCAAACACCTGCAGATTTTGTTGAATCCTGGATGGTGTCACACTTTTGGGGATGCATGTCACTCCTCTTTGAACGTGCCACCTGAAGCAAAGGGAAAGCTTTTTATTTACATTGAGCTTAGTAGAACAGATTCTTTACCTAAGGATAATTTGTGCTGGTGTTTTATCGTATCGCTCGGCTATAACCCGAAGTCCAGAATCCTCCAACAGAGCTGGTTCATTTGGAGAAGCCCACGGCCTGTCTCCACTACCCAGCGGGCTGTAGGCAGTCATGCATACCCCTAGTGCCCTGAGGAAGATATGAAAATTATATTAGGCGCCTTACCTAAAAAAAAAAAAAATAAATGGCCACAAAATGATACTGACCGACAATGAGCTATAAGCGCTTGTTGAGACAGGTAAGGGTGACACTCCACCTATGGATTAAGGCCACTTTTGACACTTGTAAATTCACTGACATTGTATGTTAGGTTGTTGCGGTGTTTACCTGATTAACAACCGGTTTATGTTTGGCCATGCTTAAAATGTCATTGATCTGTCTGGCATTGAAGTTGGACACCCCTATAGCCTTGACCAGCCCCTCATCTACCAAGCACTCCATGGCTTTCCAAGTGTCTGTGTAGTGCGTGTCTGAATAACGCACACTGCCATCCTCGCGCCGGGGCATCATCTCTGCACCTCGCCTGGAATACATATTGTACAATGTGAAAAATGCCCAAAAACTGGTTGCAATAAAACTACCCCATGTGACCAACAGGGGGAGATAAAGTCACTCCTTACTGGAAGGCCATTGGCCAGTGCATGAGGTACAAGTCTAAATAAGATAACCCCAGGTCAGTGAGGGTGGTCTGACAGGCTGTCTCCACATCCTCTGGCTCATGCTTTGTATTCCACAGTTTAGATGTCACAAAAACCTCCTCGCGACGAAGCGCCTTTGAGAAATGGATTTTAAAAGGTAACAATGTGGCCCACAGAGAGCATTTTGTGGTGGTCACAAATATACCTTCCCTGGGCCAATCCGCAGCGCCAGAGCCTCCCCCACTTCTTGTTCATTGCCATATGCAGCAGCACAGTCAATATGTCTATATCCACAGTCCAAGGCTGTCAGCACTGCCTGTTTCACCTGATGCAAACAAAAACAAAGCCAATCACACAGCTAGCACTACATCTCATGCTTTGATATTTGAGTTACCTGTCCAGGAGCACTTTTCCAGGTGCCAAGTCCAACCATGGGCATGTGGGACCCCGTGGAAAGCACTACAAACCCACTCATGGTACAAGCTATATGGTCACAAAAAGTAACTTCACGTTCAGCCTTTTAAAGAGATTGCATAGTCATCATGACCAAGACCCCAAACTCTGTAACTGATTTATCACTAGACACAAATTTACTAACAGGACCTCGGGACAAGAGAACAAAAGTGAAGCTTCTCACATGGTCAGGACACTTCAAAAGCCATTTTTATGTATTTGTTATAGCCAACTCTAACCCTAGTACTGTGCTTATTCTTTAGCCTCAGAGGAAATCTAAACCTTGTGTGAACCAAGCCTGATTGCCAGAAATAGCTGATACAGTTATATGGCATTAGTCACAGTAGGGTGTTACTGCAGCATCTCTGAAGTCTCTGAGGTTGACTATTATGCACAAAGAAAACATACTATATCAGACCAGAAGTGACCACAGATCAAACACCAATGATCAACCTACATTTAAGAAAACACAATGGACGTACAGAGATTATATTACCTTAAACCCAAATGATGAACAGCTTCAGCGGAAGGTAAAGAGCTGAGAGCAGCTTTGTTCACAGGTCAAAGTTTGTCCCCATTTGTTTATCTGTGACGTGGACTCACTGACCAAAATTCAGATGTTTTTAAGTTCTTCGCATTCTTATTATAATGACGTCATACTTGTTCATGTGTGATTCATGTTTTTATTTTTATTTGAATCCCTTTTGAAAACATGTCAAATACACACAAGTTGAGCAAAAGCACAAAGCATTATTAAGCCTTTGATTTTGCGTGGTAGCAGTAGTGTAATCATCCTGACATTTTCTCACACACTATTTGAAAATGGTAATTGATTATAGATGTTTGAAATTCTTTTTATTTTTTTATCGATGTTGTAAGAAGGTCAAGTATTAAAGAGTTCAAAAATCCTTTCAACAGCAACCATACAAAACTATTCAAGTTTAGATAATTGTATTATAGTAATCATTGTAAGATGTAGACAGACTTTCATTAAAAGGCTGAATGTAAAGTACAGCTGAGTATTGCACCATTTCAAATTAGACAAACATTCTAAAACACAAACCATTTCCTATCACAATTCATGATTACACATGCATTTTATAAACTGTCCCCCATATTTCATTCTTGTCTCACACGCAGCACTGTATTTGTATGTGTATATTATGGCAGGTTGTGCAGATGCATTTGTCTCCTCTGGCTTGTCATGAGGCTAGATTAAGGCACCTAAGAGCCCCAAGGCCGAGAGCCAGGGGAGAGCACCTAAGTTCCATGTTGATTGTATTAACCACTGCTGCTTAAAGTTTGATTGTCATTCTACATCTGGTACGGTTCACAATATGTTCTCAATGATCATACTAGAGTTATAATTCTGTTATCGAACTAATCAAACTAAGTATTTTCTCACACTCAACGGCCTAGAGTTTGACAAAGCAGAGAAAAACAAGACCAAATGTGTTCCATCAATTCAAAATCACACAGTGACAGTTATTAGTCCTGTTATAAAAGACTGCAAAAGACCTGCTGGCATGATAACTATTTGACTTTAGAAACAACTTATTTGTCTCGCCTTTCTTCTGTGTAACCTGCTTAGATGATGTGTGTAATTAGGATAAATATAAAAAGTACCATTCCTGTTGGTACTTGTTCACAAAAGATATTATAAATGGCTTCAGGAAATTTGAGCAACAATGCAAGAGTTTATAGTGGATATAAAAACGTATTACATGTGATTTCTGAAAAGTCTTTATGATTGTGGCAGGTGTTGTCTGATGATCTCTTTGGATTGATGAGGAATCCTGTCAGGAAAGTGCACAGAAAATTCCACAATGAGGTCTCCGCGCTGCAAGGGGTTTTTTGGAAAGGGCAGACCTTCTCCCCTGAGCCGCTTGACTGTCATGGGCCGGATGATGTCATGACATGGAAGTGAGATTACGCGGTTTTCCAGAGTGGGAATGCTCACGGTGCAGCCACACAACGCCTGCAAAAATAAAAAGAATAGAAATGGTGAGGGTTAATCTTGTGTGTAGGAGCTGAAGACATTTCTGACTTAAAGGAGCAGTGTGTACAAATCTGGCCAGAAGTGGTACTGCAACCTCTCCCACTCTCCCTGACTCAGGTTGCCAGATGTGCAACCTTATTTTACCTTGAGATTAGCTCGGCGCAGTGAGTTCTGGCAACCCGGATTACAGAACCTCTGATTGGTAAAACAGTGGAGGGCGGGACATCGAAATAAAAACAATAACAAGATTTATGGGCAGTAAAACTAATTTTGAAATTCTAATATCTCGGCTGAACAACTGTCATCAGTTAAAGAAGTGTTCGAAAAGAGCATAGTTTAATAATGCCTTTTGACATATTAGGGCCATTTAATGACCTGAAAATCTTACATATTGTTACTTCAATGTTTCCATTAGCTCAGATTGTTCGAGCACTTAAATCTTTCTGTTTGTGTGAAACGGTTGAAATAGTTGTTAATTAGCCATGACATAGAGGGGTCCTATTGAACATATAAATAAAAATATAACTTGACAACGGAAAAGTGTTTTCGAGGGCTTTGTTTAGAAGTACAGGGAGTGGATGATTGGGGGTAGACACATTGCACAGGAGACTAATTTTAGCAGGCTGCTCATAGCTGAAGCTTATGAAGCAGAAATTAGCTGAGCTCATAATTAGTCTGGGTGGTGGGGAGAGGAAAAACACAGTATAAAAGACACACTTCTTATGACAGTGGCTGATGAAGCACACGAGCAGAGGAAAGCTAAGTTAAAGATAGGGCAGACTGTTTCAGGACTCACAGCTTTTCTGTGGCAACTAATTTACATAATAAAATAACATTTTATAAAAAATTGGGAGAGGAACATGGTTAATATTTACTTAAGATTTCTCTCAGACTGAAAACATTTCGGCATATGTCGGGTTGTCTCTCTCTCTTTCACACACACATGCACGCACACATATACAGTGGTGGTGGAGTGATGCAAAACTAGCCCAGCTTTGAGAGCCCTGCAGCAACAGTTATCACCTCAGTGTTGAAGTAAGAGTTTGACACAGTCCGCTGCAGAAGCACCAGTTTTTCTTTCCATGAATACACTGTCGTGTTGACAGGTTTGTTTTGCCTACTGATTGTTGTGTTGTTTGCAGTAGTTCTCCTGTTCTAGTGTTAAGTTTTATCGTCACTAAGCAACTATGTTATAAAGTTGCGGGTTGTTTAGATTGTTACTCTAAAGGAACTGTGTTGCCACAGACGGTCTGGGAAAAGCCCTCCGGTGCCTTCAGTCTGAAGATTGACCGACAGCACTAACAGGAGACCGGCCTTTTGAGAACAGCAGCTGGTTTGGGGCCAGCTCCTGGCTCAGACAGGCTGCAGTTCTGAATGACCTCACGAAGAACAAATTAGTCTCATTTAAGACATGACATGTATTTTCAGTAGTGAAATATTTGGTTTGATAAATATCCATTTAATATGTAAAATCAAGGGGACTTATCTTATTATTTACGGCTGGACATTGTCTGTTTTGGTGCTGCCGTTATTGTTGCCTTTTTTTGTTTTTCCTCCAGGGAGTAATCACCAGGGGTTGTTTGTCTGTTTGTTAGTTACACTCTAAAAACAGATTGGTCAAAACCACCAACAAACTGATAATAGCCATTTGTTCTTGTTTAATGACTGATCTAATAAAATGGTTAGTATTTGCCACACATCTATATTGGTTTAGAGTGCCAATCAATGCAAACCGGTCCTGCATGACGTATCTAGTTAGGTAGTTAAAATATCCGGAGCATTCTTTTGGTATAAATAACCAACTTTACAGTGTTTAATAATAATTAACTTTTCATGACACTCAAAGACACTGGTGTGTGTGAATGAATGAGTGAATGAATATTGTAAAAAAGTACTTATGCATGAGATTATTTTTGGCCTTGACCTTAATGTTTGTTGTAATTCATCTATAAAACTGTTGACTGCAGCTCACAAGTGGAGCAGCCGCCCACGAGAGTCACGAGGCAGAGCAGTGGATAAGAGCTTCTAATGTGCTGTGGCTACAGACTCATGTGACCATTCTCCCTAATATTCCCTCCAGTATCATGAATGCGGCATTTGTCTACTCCCCAGGCAATGTGTCTTTTTCTGATATCAGATGTTTATTCAGTGGGTGGTATTAGATAATGTAAGACATTTAATCAAATTCAATGTGCTGCTTACTGGGTCTTAACACGCTCCTGTGATGGCATTCATGCAGAGTGCAGGTAACAGTGGTGCCTTGTTTCTGTGAACACTTATGAGGCTTTCAGAGGCGAGAGGCGACAAAATTGGTTTAAAATGGAGAACAAACTGCTCCCTTGACTTTATCTAAAAAGCTCACTTGCTTTTTACAACAACAAAACTGTCAAGTCAGTCTCTTCAAAAGTCTCAGAGACAGAACCGTGCTGGACCCATTGCCCTTAAAAAAACAGCTAATTAAATGTCCTGCCAATCACGATAGCAGCCAGCTAACACACAATGTCACACCACAATACATCTAAAACCAAATAGACAAGCAAACACAAGTTCGTACTTGTGTATAATGATAACAGTACGTGACATTTTGTGTGTCTGGACGTCACTGCAGGAAAAGCATATAATGCAGACAATGGCTGTAGCCGGTCACACAAGGACACCACATTCCTGATGCTCACACTACAGCAGAAACTGCTCACCAAATATTTGAGCAATAGAATAAAATAATAGAAACAATAAACTTTTATGTTTCATTAATTTGATGAAGCATCAAACAAGAATATGAATAAAACCTTTGCATAATTTATTTCAACCTGATAACGAGACAAAACGTGATGACACATACCTCCTTTAGACTTATCTTGCAATTGTAGACAATGTTTGAGCCGTCTCTCTTAAAGTGGACGTGTCCCTTGTCTTTGAGCACAAAGGCTATGTCCGCAGGAATGTTCTCGGGGGTTTCATCCCCCTCTTTTGGAAAGGTGATCTTGGTGCCTTCCTTCCAGCCTTTCTTTATGACAATGTTAAGGATCTTGTCTTCGGTCCTCATGCTCCTGCCGTCTGGATTCAGTCTACGGCGTGTGATTTTCATCCTCTTGGTGCATCCATGGAAGATCTCTTCCAGCGAGACCTTCAGTTCATGGACCACAGGAGGATCTTGGTGTTTTTGATTCGCTCCGAGTCTTTCTGAAGGGACACCCTTCCTGCGTCGGCCCTCTCCAGGAAAACCATTCTTCATGCCTCCAGGAAAACCAAACTGTCTCCCAAAATGGCTGAAGGGGTCTTCGTCCTCAATGTCCATGTCCTGGTCCACATCATTGTTGTGGTCATTATGGAAGGAGAAACCATTAGAGCGGTTGTGGTTACGGCTTGAGCTAAAAAACATGTCAAAGGGGTTTGAGCCTCCAAAGAAGGAAGCAAATGTGGCATGGGGATCTCCATGGAACGTATAGTGATATGACGAACTCCCAGGAGCACCCGAAGAGCTATTTCCACCTGTTTTCAAACCTGAAAGGAAAGAAATTCAAGCATGTTGTTAGATCCCTTAAGAAAAAAAAAAACTTGTTTGTGTTGCACATATCTTAACAAAACCAAGTATTTGTTTGTAATTCAGTGTAAGATAAGACCATTATAGGATCCTTTCTAGAGACCATGCATAACCAAATTATGGCTGTGGGACAGCTTTGAGCTCTATTAGATATTTCATTCTAAGCCTAATGCATTATGTTGTGACTTCACCAAATTTGTGAGTTACTACAATACTATATTACTATACTACTATATTTTCTCTGTGTACATTTAAATAAGTAGGCCTTGATGCTTTAGACTCACCTTCCTCTCCCAGCTGATCATAGACCACCCTTTTCTTAGGATCACTGAGTACTTCATAGGCCTCAGCAATTTCCTTGAACTTATCCTCTGCATTTGCGTCTGTGTTCTTGTCTGGGTGAAAGCGCAATGCCATGCGGCGGTATGCTTTCTTAATCTCCTCTTCATTGGCACCTTTTGGAATACCCAACGTTTTGTAGTTCCCCATTGCTGGACACAAGTTCACCGGCTCTGGCTGTGGTCAGTCTCTGGTGGGATATAGATAGGTCTTACAATCATGTGCATTAGTGGTAGAAAGAGTATTGAGAAATTGCAATAAATAGAAGTAAGGAAAGTCACATGGTTGGTTTACAAGTGTGGCCTTTTTTACAACTACTTGAACTACACATTGTAATTAAAGAGATATCAATCAAATAACTCCAATTAGTTTGGGGCTGCGTTTAGATGAACATTTAGAAGCATTTCAATTAAGGTTTAGATGAACATTTAGAAGCATTTCAATTAAGTTAGGCTCACGCTTTGATACTGAAGTTGAATAAAACAAATGGCAACACTGTGGCTGATGGGGTAGGACAATATTTACAGTCTATGAGTAGGACATGCTTCACAGCAAGAAGGTTGTGGCTTTCATCCCAGATCTTTCTCTTGTCTGGGTGGGTTCCTCCGTTTGCTCTGATTTTCCCCTGCACCACTTGATAACATGCACCATTGGTAGTCCTGTTCAAGCTGAGCATCTGGAGAAAGGTCCCTGAAGGATGGGACAAATGTTGAAGAATCCCGAGGGGGATAATAAAGTATACCATGACCATAACTAACTTTCTTTCTGAGTTGAAATCTATCAGAGCATCTTATAAGCACATGCTGCTGTTCGATCTAATCAGACAGAAAAAGAGCAGAATTATTCAAATTATTCAAATTATTAGTACTTTCTACTCAGCAGCAGTGCAGCTCTTTACTGAACATAGATGCTGGAAAAGGGAGAAGACATTTGACTAATGTTGCCATGGAGACACAGCTGATAATGAGCAGGGATTCCCGACAGCTGAAGCGCAGAGCTGAACCTATAGTGAGAGACAGTCATTGTAGTCTATGGCAAATACAGACAGCACCACCCGTAAACATTCTACATATGTAAACTTTAGACCAAATAGTGACTGTCCGCCTATGCCAGCCCTGGAATGCAGACGCTCCTCATGTTACAGTATTTGCGGTAAGGACACTACAGACACCGGGAGCCCCCTCTCTCCAAGACTGCGGAGATTTAAGTAGCCTGCTCGTTTTCTCGGCTTTAGGCTCACACACCAACACTGTCTTCTTAGCGCTTTTAGATTGTTCAGCGAATAGCGAAGTCATTACTAGACAGTCAAATCAGGCTGTTTAACGAACCTTTTCAATAAATAGTGGAAACAGAATCTGAACAATGGACATAGAGTAAAATAAATACCAGGGCCTACCATACATAAGTTGAATTATCATATTGAAATAATCTACTTACATAATATCGATCAATTCCCCAAATGCAGCCCTCGGTTTATGGTTAGGATCATTTCTTTCACTGGGCTCCCGCACGCGCCACCGCTGCTCTTCAGATGTGACGTCAGGACGCACAGGGCGCTCTGAAATAGCTGCTGATGCGCGTCTGACGTCCCAGCGGAAAACCTCGGACAGCTGCCAACAAATAATCCTTTCTCCAAACTACATATTCAGTCTGCAAGCAAGAGGTGGGAGACACACATCTGCAGGACTCAAAAGACTAAACTCCGAGCTCCAAATGATCTTCTGGTCTTATAACAGTAAAAGTCACTCTACAGTTATGGTCGTACCATGGTGGGCAGCTCTGCACAGGTCTGTGAAAGGAGTTGTGAATCATATGGTAGTGACTCTGTACATGTTTTTGGACAAATGTGATCTCACAGTTAGACCATGTTTCATCACTTTTGTGGAGGCTATGCAACAATAATAAACATTTTCTTACCTAATCTGATTTTCCACAATGTAGTATTTTCCCTTATATGGACAATTGTGTTTCTTGCCATGTATCACATTATCAGCCTCCTTTGTTGTGTTGTATGGTGAAGGTTCTAAGTAGATATAAGCCTCCAAACATTCATGATGTTCAGAACAGACAAAACAAGGAAACCTATTTGCTTGTACGCCACAAAACAGCAATACAAATACAAATCCAATGTCAAAACACAGGCAAGTAGCAGTGACAAGACAACAGATTATATTATTTTGATCACTTATTTGTATGATGATACACTGTAACCATGGTGATATAAGACATATTCAGACAATGCTGTCTGCAAAGATCCCACTGTGCTCTGGTACACATGCGAAAGGATGCAACATACAAGGTCTGTCGAGGCTCGTCAATCATAAAGATGTCACATTAAAATGGAATCATAATACAGATTTGTACAGTCAAGTGTGAGACTGTCCATTACTTAAATCCTCAGAACAAGACGCTCTCACCTCCTCCTCTCTTCCCCATGTGTCCTTCTGGTAACCATAGAGACCACAGTTGTCCGATATTATAAAAAAAAAAAAAAAAAACCTGACAGCTGGTGAGGAGCCAGCGGCCAGTTACATCGCCTTTGCTCTTATACCTGCGCCCCAGGAGTGGTGAGATCTGTCCTGACTGTCTTAAGAAGAGGACCGAAGGGTGTCTCCCAATTATCGTGGGACCGCAGTCAATCAGACCCGTCATGGTGTATACTCTGCCAAGGCTGCCCTTTGTCATCGGTTCTGTTCACAGTTTTTATGGAAAGACATTTTTAGGCACAGCCAGGGGTCGGAGGGAGTTCGGTTTGAGGACCACAGGATTTCATCTCTGCTGTTTGCAGACAATGTTGTCCTGTTCCTCCAACAAATGAGGACCTGCATCATGCACTGGCAGAGATCAGCACCTCCAAATCCGAGGCCATGGTACTCGACTGCCCTATCCAGGTGGAGGGGCCCTTCCTCAAGTGGAGGAGTTCAAGCATCTCGGGAGATAAGAAATTGAAAAGCAAGGTGAGGAGGGAAAATCAAAAACCCACACATATACCTTTGCCAAAACGATTCTATCTTTATATGTGACAGCAACGACATGCCTTCAGTCAGATATGGACAATAATCATAAAATTTGTATAACAAACAACTTGACTTAGGCTATAAAGGCAAACACAGTGAAAGATGCCCATTATGTCAAACTTCAAAACAAGTAGAATACAATTTCAAACATTGTGCTCCCCATAATAAATAATACACATATGGTTGTGATCCATGAAAAATATACTAAAAAGCATTAACTTTCGAAAGCATGGCCATGTGCAAATATGCCTTTATCAATGTATTAAATTAAGTAATCAATCAGAGTGCCATGGGCCTCTCCTTTGACAGCTTTACACATTTTATATGCATGTTTACACTGCAGCATAATCATTGTTCAAACAGATAGAAATTTAATCAAATAAAGAGGCATGAATGTGAATATGCTAATAAGAAATAATTATATGTTGCATCCAGTGCGTCACAATTCTCTCACAAGAGCACCATATTTATTCCTCAGAGCTATTGACAAAAGTCATAGTTTGTGGATTATGTTCAGGTATCTAACGTTAGGATACAGAATGTTAACCAGCAAAGCGAGCAGTCGAGGTCCATCCTTCAGACTGTGTCCTGGGAAACGGATGAATTGATCTGCTTTATTCACACAGTCCTCAAACTCAGAATAGTGCTTATTATTAATCAAGGCTTCCAATGTTCCCAATGCCTGCAATTATACAACAGAATACAACAAGAATTACTTCAACAACCTCAAAGTGTGAAAGCAGTTGTAATTTCTGCAACCTACTTGTTGTGCTTTCGCAGAAAAATGCAATTCAGAGGTGGGTTGAAGTCTCAACTCTGACTCAGAGTCGGATGGTACCTGGACTGAGAGAAACACAGAGAGACATCGTACCACCACTCTGAATCTGAAAACAAAGGGATTGTGTTTAATATTACAAATAAATATAATAATATATGGTATGAATGAAGAGAGTGTACTTTTTAGAAACAGGAGTTCGCTTTCCAAGACCTATTGCTCCAAGTAAGCCAGAATGTAATCGATCCTCTCCCATTTGTAGTAACCTGGTTTGCAGCCTCAATAGCCCCATGACAACTCCTGGGACCTCTGCATTACCTGCCTGAGGCTGCAACTGCTCAGATGCCACACATAGGGTTTTGTGCCACCACAAGAACAGCTTGGCCTCATCTTCCTCTCCACTGTTGGAACAAAGTCTACATCACATATCGGCAAAAACAAAAAACATGGATTTATAAGATGAAGAAAACATACCCGGGAAAGACCTGATTGGTCCACGTGTTCATTAAAGCCAAAATCCTCCGCTCATTGGCTGCAGTGTGTTCACTGTTAAGGCGCTGGAGAATGAAGGCATAAAGTGTAAGGAAGCTCCCTCCTGATTGGCTCTCGGACAGGAAGTCCTCTATTGTAAGCTCAGGCACCTGTAGGGATGCCAACACAGGACCCCATCCCACAGAATCTTCTTCAGCTGAAAAAGGACACAAAACACAACTAATGCCAAGATTGAACACAAATGCCACAATTGAACACTTCTCATTCTTCAATAAAACAAACCATGATTAAAGTAAACAGTGATGCAGGCTTCCATAATTCGAGTCATGTGTCTGACTGATGCCAGACTTCGCGAGCAGGCTGTAAGTAGAGCCAGAACAGGAAAGCACCTTCCCTTCCTGTCCAGCCAAGAAATGACATGAGCAGCAAGAGACTCTCCTGTAGAGACGCCCACACCGTTGAGCAAAGTCAGTGCATCGCTGAAGAGATTGCAAAATGCCATGTGTCGCTGTTCCAAGCCAGTTTCTGCATAGAAAAACTTGAGTTGAGGAGTGTGATTAAGAAGACTAATAATCAATCATTCTTTATGCATAAAGCGCCTTTCATACAAATATGTAAAACTAACAACTTGTATAATGAAAAACCAACCTGGTGGGTTGAAAGCAACAATTCCTTCCAACAGTGTGTCAAGCTGGGTCTCCAGACTGATCAGAGTAATGCTGCCTCCTTGTTCTAGAGTGACTAATAACCGCACACACCAGCGTATATATGCTCCTGCTTTAAGTGTTTGCTCCTACAAACCAAAAGTATTAGACAGAAAAATAATGGAATATTGAATTATTTGATGATTCCAATCTCACCACATGTGGTTTTGCACTGAGACCGTGGTGCAACCCAGCAACACTTCGCAGCAATTTAAGCAATAGTTGAGGGGTAGAGTCAGGACTGAGAAGGAAAGAAGGAAGATAGTGGGTGTCCACATATCCCAGAATTCCTTGATAAGAAGACAAATCCAACTTTTGCCATGGCAGCGATATGGACTGGACCAATAAACTAAGTAATGGAGAATCCTGAAAAAGTCACAACTTTAGACAAATGCAGATGGTTGCACACATAAACCGTACAGAAACAAATGTTTACTTGTTGACATAGAAGATGCTCCTCTTTTCCAAGAAAAACAAGCATGTACAGCAGAGAAACCAGCATAGTCTGTGACTCCGCCTGGGTCTCTGACGTCAGGGATGGATGTGTCTGTAGGTGTTCACTTAAGACACTGACCCAATTCACCTCACATAGAATTTCTCCCATAAACAAAAAGCAACTTTTTGGGCTTCCTCTTTCAACCTGTTAAATAGAAACAATTATTTATTGAAAATTATCAATTTCCCAGGTTCAGCAATAATAATAACTTAGTTACTTTTTCCACAGTCTACAAACGTAGTTTGTGGAAGATGGAAATGTTCCTCTAATTATGAGTAGTGACGTAAAGTGACTGAAGCTCTAATAATAGATGTGGGGGGTCAAAATGAACCAGCAGCCAACATTGTGCAAGTCTAAATATAGCGTTGAAGGTCAGATGTTAGTGTGTCTGATTGGGCCTTACATTGAAGAGCTGCTCCATAAGCAGAGGTTCTGGGTGCAAATGTCTCCAGGGAAGGCTGCGGAGGTGTGTATGATAGAGGTACAGCAGGTATTCAGGCGTACGGGGTGCAGTACAACTTCCACAATACTGCATCATACACAGCCACAGAGCACCTCTCTGCCCAGGGAGCAAACGATCTGAAATAAAATAACAGTTACAGTGAAGAATGTCTTTCATAGCTCCAGCTACAGGAGCTAGGAGCTGTCAGACTCAGAGACTCACCTCTGAACTTGTGGTACAAACTCTCAGTCATTTGTGTGTAAAGTCCAACCAAAGCTCCCGCAAGATTTGCATCAGTTTCCAGCCATGGATAACACTTAACATTACTTGAAAACAAACAATGAATTTAATTGGAAGCAAAATATTTAAGGATTAGGGATATATACTGTATGTATATTACCTGCCATCTTCAGTGTCCAAAGGAAAGATCCATGGACTAAATAACTTAACAATCTTACTATGTAAGCTCTGCAAAACTGAATATAAAAATAGTAACCGGTAATTAAAATACCTCCTCAAAGTTAATGACTTCAAACTTAGAAGTCATCATTACCTTTTTGTGTTTTGGTGCTGCCCATTGACTCTCTGGCACAGTTACTTGCGTGTGCATTGATTGAACTTCCAATCAAATGTTCCCAAAAGGACACTACATCGGTGAGGTAAGGAGCCCACGCAGAGTAAAGACCAAAACTGCGAAGATCACTTTTACTGAGTCGACTTCGATGGAAATATTCACTGAGCCATTCAATAGTTTCATCCACCTTCAGAAACAACAGAACAAATTACATTAAAAAGACAAAGATGACAAGAAACTGTTTTACAACTACACCATCCCTCAGTACCTGCTGAGGAGAGAGGCTGATGTAGGATCTACTAGAAGAGCTTTGATGTCCTACAGGACGACCAGAAGAATCCAAAATATTTTGGACCGGTTCATCTTTGGTCTTAGCATTTTTTAATGAAGGAAGGCAGCCCAGTGCACGCAACGTCACCTTCCAGCACTCAGGACTCAGTAACTGGTCAGATGAGCCTGAGGAAATAATACACATAAAATACATATAGTGCACATTTCACTGTCATGGCGCGATTTAAACAGGGATAGATAAACCTACTTTTCATAAGCAGACGCAGACAGTCACTGTAATGGTCAGGGAAATTATGGCGTAAAATCCAACTCCAATGTTTAGTAAAAACATGGAATGGTGTAAGAAGTTCATTTTCAGGCTCTTTGCCACACACACACAGTGCACCATGGATCAACTCCAGCAAACGTGTTCTTTCCGAAAAGATGGGATTTGTTTCATTGAGCCACTGGGATAGGTCAAACTGCCAAAGAAAAGGGACATGCATTGCTGATGCATATTTATGTTGTCATTTATTGTGTTTGTGATTAGAAACTAACCTTGGTGAGCAGCATAAATATGACATCAGTGGTGTCAAGGTCAAGAGAGGTCACCACATCTTGGTACAAAAATACAAGCTGACTCGGCGCAGAGTTGGGCGTAAAGAACGATGAAATGAGTGGACAGAGACGTCTTTGTCCTAGAATGGTTTTTAAAACTCGTTCACACTCTGCCGCATTGTCCTGGATAAACACCTAGGAAACAAAGTCACAGCTCACATTGAGGTCAAATCATTTTACCTCACTAAAGTATGAGTCTGAAACATGTTACACATGGCCAGCCTCTGCCAGAGCCTCTTTTGCCTTTGAAACATGTGCGGATGTGTAGTGGCTCACACCTGTCCCAGGACCTCGACGCAGGAGGAGAAGAACTGTCGTGTTGGGGGATGACGCAGCGTATCTTCACACACAAAAGAGACCACCTGGTAGAATGTTGCCACACCAACCTGCTGCACCGCTGGTAATTTCTGAGTCTTATACAAATTTACCAGTGCCCTGAACACAATTCAATTGTGAACATTTCCATAACTTATCATCTTAACAATGTAATTTTACTGACGTGATGAAATTCTCTGTGTGAACAGCTGCCTGGGCCAGGCTGTGCTGGGGTGGGGCCATGGCATCTGTTTGTAGCTTCTTGATATCCCGACGCAGTGATGATATCAGAGAATGTACTGCTTCTTGTTTGTGAAGCTTTTCACACTAAATGGATTGCAATACAAACACATTTACACGAGGATTCAATCGACATGCATCCAATAATCAGAATATTGTGTTCTTACAGTAACAGTAATGTTAGCTGGCCCCTGGCAAGTTTGCCCTCCTTTTCCTTTACATTCAAGGATCTTAGTGACTTGCTCAGGTTTGTTTTTATACAAAAGAGGAAGATTCTCCAGAAGCTCTAGCTCCAGTGCCACCTGCTGAGCTTCACAGGCAACTGCAAGCCTAACACCATATAATAAAATAAGCACTGTAATATCATTAGAGAAGTTTCATGCAAGGTTGTGAAGTACCTGGCTTGGTCCTGCAGAATACTAAGATCTTGATTCAAGAGTTCAGCAGCAGCTCTGATCTCAGTTAGGCATTTTGTTGGAATATCAGCCACAGGTATATTCTGTGCGTGTAGTTCTGGAGGTCGCTGAGGGACCGGATGCTTTTGTAGGTTAGCCATTATTCGGTCCTTTGCTGAAAATTATAATAAGTCAAGATTTCATCGGGTTTGAACTGAAGGGTCCTGTACAGATAATTTAGAATTCGTACCATTATCGAAGCTTGTGTAGTCAGGAAAACTGTGGCTTTGAGCTTGCACAAAGGTCGGTTCGCTCTGCACTTTTTCCAACAAAGACCGCACCTCCATTCCATCATAATGCAGACGTTCTTGGTCAACAAACTCCAACCACAGGACCTTAAATGAAATACATCAAATATTATATATCAAAGACAAGATTATATTTCTTTCCAATGCCATTGCTCACTTGTTGTCGCTGCATCACTTGAGCAAGCCTGTGGGGTTCATACTCGGGAGGAAGTGAGGGTAGGTAAACCTCCTGTTTTTGCAACGCCTCATCATCCAGCCATAAAGCGAACACCCCAAACAACCTATGAATAGTGAGGTTAGATGCATCTGCTCTTCACATATGTTTGTAACATTGAATGTTTACCTGACCAGCTCAGTGTGAAGCTTTGGTGAAGTAAGATAATGTGGTTGAATGTGTCCTGGACTTTCATCGCCTTGACTGTCTGACAATGGCGTTTGTGGAGGAGGGACCCTTAGAGCCTGACTTGCAGCATGATGAAAATCTGAGATTTCTTGAATTTTGTTCCTTAAATCTTTAAGAAGGGCAACTTGAGAGGAAGACTGGAAGAATTTATGGCCAATGCATCCACCTGCAGCAAGTCTGATAAATAGGGAAGTACTTTAAAACAGGCCTGAATCTTTTTTATAGTACACAACACTGATGGACCATACCCATACTCGGGCCCAGGTTGTTGGAGGTAAAGCTGCAGGAACTTTTGCCAAATTAAAGGAAGAAGAGGGTGATCTGGGGGAGTGGCCACAGCCTGACAGGCCCAGCGATAAATTTGCATTCGCTGCAAAGTCGGAGTAACAGGCAACTTGAGCCTCTGCTGTGCCTTCTAGCTCAGAAACACAGAGGCCACAATTGAGTTTGTGGATAAAACCATTTTTTGTTTTTTTTTATTTTACCTTCCAGGCTTGTTCTGGAGAGAGATTGAGGTCTGCAAGAAGCTCTTGCTCAACACATCTTCTGAGTTGTGAATCTTCCTCAAAGACACCCTCCATATTCAGGACAAGCCAGGCAAACCACACCTACATGTTCTCTTAATTGTTAGACTATTCAGATTGTATTATATACTCTTGAAAATCCTACCTCTGCATTCAGTGACTGGCCTTCAATAAAGGAAGGTGTTGCATTTCCAGAAAACCATCCAACAATAGATGAGAACAGCCCTCGATCTCCATAGAACCCAAAGGCGCTCTGCAAATAAATGTTATATAATTACACTTTGAATCAAGATGTGCAGTTGTGGATGATATATAATGTAAATCCCAACCTTAAATTGTTGATACAGTATTTTCTGAACACATTCTTCCTGGTGGGAAGTGAATGCAGCACAGCAAATTTGATCCATAAGGAACAGGATTGTTTTGTCTCTGTACCACAAATTCTGCTGAGTCAACAAGCTGACCCAAAATTCCAACACTGCCGAAGCACCAACACGGTCAGGCCGAGAGCTTTCTACAACATGGCTCTACATCACAAAATACTTTGTTACTATACAAACCAACTGAACAAAATACACATTATATTTTCCATCCGAATGGCGAACCTGAATGACACTGTTTAAAAGCCGGACATTGTCCCCGTAAGTGTTTCCGGTGAACAGAGGTGCCACTCTGTGTGTGAGCTGCTGCGTGACGCCTTGAGGACAAACAGGATCGCTCTGCAGGAATGTTTGTATGCAATTTACAAATCTGGAATAAAGAAAACAACAAGGTTAAGTACAACTATGGTTATTCATTAAAATGCATTAGGATATCAAAAACATGTTACTGGGAGTTGTTCAGCAGATAAAAACTGAGGGGGTAAGTTGGGGGTAAGATGTTGTCAAGTAGATGCACAGCCGCTCTCAAATGTCCCGACTGAATCAGGTTCTTCAACAAACCCACACCATCAGTGCAAAAGCTTTCCAACCTGTAACAAATATTTGCAGAACATCAGGATCCCTTTACATTCATCTTGACATATAATACAGCTGCTGTACAAACCTATGTCCCACTGCAGTCATAGCAAGAGAAATATAGCTTCCAATGGGGAGGCCTGATTTTAAGGCTCTAAGAACCGGGTGCATGCTGGGTGTGTGAGTCAGTTCTGGAGGTGGATTCGAGGCTAAAGCTGGAACTGACCAAGCTCCTTTTGGCGTCTGAGCATTTCCATGAAGTTTCAGCCTAAGTAGTAGTTGCCATGCCCATTGGCTGAATGACGCCTCAGGTGACACGCCTAAACGAAGAACACTTGCTAGGTACGATACCTGAAAAAGTAACGTACAAGAATTTAAAAGTGCTCGTTTACGCAGCTTACAAATATCAAAAGGTTTTACCTGTTTAATTCCCTCAGATATAAGGCCAGCATATGCTTTATCAGTCAAGTACTTTTGATAGGCTTCAGCCACTAATAAAGCAACCTCACTATGAAGAGAAGATGGTAAGGCCAACCTCCCCTCCTGTGACACAAAGATGCCATAAAGCTACCTTGTAGTTAAACAATTATAAATATGTTATTGAGGAAGACAGTACCTGTGTGTAACCCCAGTTGAGACCTTCAAGTACAACACATGCAAGTCGATTTTCTACAGTGGAGAGTGGATGTTGAAGCAGCCAACTACCAATTACACATATCTCCTCTGGAAAAGGCTGCCACAGGCTTAAAGGCAGCTCTTTAAATACATACAATGCCGCCTTAAGCACAAAAGAAAGCATATAATCACAATACAAGCATTATAAATGTGCATATCTTTACAAGACGACATGTCAATACCAACCATTCCCACTATTTGTATGGTCTCTCGTAGCCTCTCCAGGAGCACAGAGATAATGAACGGGTGTGCTGTGGCAATGGCAGCAAGGAGCTCTCTTCCAACTTTAGAGTACATTTCTCTAGTCGTCATGCTCACATAAGACACCTTAAAAGAGTAGTGCCAAAATGTGTCAATGGTCCTCACCTTGTTATTGAGAAGTATCATAGCGTACCTGGTATATGAGCAGAGTCACAGTTTTAATGAAGGCACAATCAATATGTTGCATGGGTGTGGCCATATGTGCTAGAGCAGTAAGAAGGGAGATGCCATCAGAACTGTTGATTTCAGAAAGCCATTGCTCAAACCGCTCCTGGTGTTGTGGATCTGCAGTAGAAACAATGTGAGATTAACAGTTGAATCAAGTGATATAAGTGTTTGCATATGGAGTGTAGTACGTTGGAGAGCCTGAATGCAGAGGTCTGTGTCTTTTGCACATGCAACGGTTTCTTCAACTGCTGTCTCTGCACACTGCATGACATACAGAACTTTCCAAAGCATTGTGCTGGAAAGAGTCCCATACGGCAACTCAGACATAAACAACCAAATACCTAATCTGTAGGAAGAGCAAACAGAATTCACCCTAATGTGTAACTGGAACACATTCTTGAACTTGTAAAGGGAAAGTATACCTCTTGTTTCTGAGAACATGTAGTACTGCTCTGAGGAAGACGTGATCATATTCCAGCTGTAACTTCTCCAGAGAAAAGGGATTCACCTGAGTGTTGGAACCCTCTTCACCTATTAAGCTCATATACTGGGCCCAATGGTCACTCACATAACACACAGTCATCCTGTTGAAGAGATACATGTACAGTCCCAACGATTATGACATAAAAACTCATTCATGACCTAAGTGCTTTTGATGGAGAAGTCCAGATGTACGCGGAAGACATGTTTTTCTTACACTGAAGAACTCATGCAGATTCTGTCGCAACCAAAGTATCGGTGGCAATGAAAAACGGTTTTGTCAATCTTTGAAAAGAAAATAATAGAGAAAATTTAACTTTGCGAACATCCAGCACATCAAGAGTTCCCCATAATTGGAAGCAGCAACATCCTATTTCATCAAAAATCATATTCCATATCGTGTACAGTATGTCTTTGTGGTCTCAAGCTAAATGGACTCTTCTGAACCCCCTGAAATCATAGCAAAATCTAGTCTTGATAGAAGCCTTGGCATCGCTGCTACATATTTGGCTAGCAGATGATCCTCTCGCTGGGACCATCAGAGAAAATAGTGACGTTTGTTGTGTAAAATGTAATTAAAATAACAAGTGTTTCCCTTTAATCTTGTACTGCACTGCTGAACATTTATTGTTTGCACCAAGAGCCAAAGCAGTTTCCTAGTTTGTGACTTCTTGGGACTCACAATAGCAATAAAAATAATTCTAATTCTATAATTTCATGATAATGCACATGCCTTTTATTTTTGTATAATACAGTTGATATTTGCACCTTTTGTAATATATTGTGTTGTTTATATTGCATGTTTTTGTGAAGGACTACAAATTAGAATGCTAAAACTGGTAAAGCCTTTTTATAAAACTGCACATCGTCCTTTAAATAAATTAACAAACGACATTATTGCATTGCTATTTGTTGCAGCTTATGTCATAGTTATTTTATTTTGCACTATACTGACCGTATAATGTGACCGATTCGTTTGACCAACTGTCTGTATCGTGCCCTGTTGTAGGTTTTCAAACCGACGGCCAGTATTTCAATGAGGGATGAAGCAAATGCAAACACTCTCATCATTTTCTGACTAGAACAGGCTTGTGGCTCAAAAACACCTGAAATGTATTTAAAGTGACGTTTAATGCAAGTTTAAAGTATGGTCAAGAGAATGTGCTAAATAACACAAATGCATGAATAGTTGTACCCTGTTTACTCATTCCCAACATGTGACAGTAGAGCTGCTGGAAGGGAAACTGGTTCAGCAAAGCTATTAAATCCTCTTCACATAACAGCATCCAACTAGTATCTGGATCCTCATCCTAAAGGTTCAAAAAGATATTGAAAAAAATACAAGGCAAAAACACTTTTAACATTATAACAGACCTCTTCCCCTCCTTCATCAACTAATGTCCAGTTTCCAGATTCAGGACCAGAGGATGTGTCGCTCTGATTTTCACATGGTTTAAGGTGGCAAAGAAACTCTTCACGATTCCTTCAACGTAAAGAATTATGGAAATAAGAATGTTGTTCAGATCTGAGGTGAGAAACAGTCATTTACCTTGCAGGGGACATAAAAATGGACAACGCTTGCATGAAATCCTGTACTCCACAAGTATTCCTCCCAACTTGTATCTGCAGTTGGTAATAACACATCCGATATTGCAGGTTGATTCGTAACCAAACAAAAACAAGACCACTTCCAAACAAACCTGAAGAAAATGTGCCCCCCACTTTGCCACTCCAGCAGGGCAGCACAACAAATGGCACAGTAAGTAGAGCCGCTCTCCTGAGCCCCCGTAAAGGACCACAGCAACCTGGAGGACGATCAAACAGGACCAATATTAACATAGATGATTTGGAACATGGCCAAAGAAGAAATTAATAGAGTTTACCAGTCTTTCCAACCAATTATGAATGTCTGACTGAAACTGTGAGTCATCCAAGGGTCTACGCAGAAAACTAAACAAAACACTAATGGCTTCTTTTAAAGGTCGAAGAGATGAAGGTTGATTCTGTGAGCACGAACGATCTAACAAAAAGAACCAACAGTGAGAGCAGCAAATGGATAATCATGTGTGTTGATTTGAAACAAATGTAGTTACAAACCTAAAAGGTGATACAAATAGAACTCCACTTGGAGACGAGACAGCAAAGCAGTGTAAGCATGCAATGCCACCTTTTGATGGAGGAGCTCCCTGCGATTTTCTAATTGTCTTTTAAGTTCAATCAGAACATTTTCATTTAAATCTGCCTGTTGAAATCGGTGATATCCACAAACTTTAGCCTGGTCTGCACAAACTCCCTGAAATAAAAGGACATAGGTACAAACCCATTCTCTACGATGAAGCGTTATACTGCATAGTACAACCCAAACCTGAAGTGTAAGCTGTTCATCTCTGAAAGTCCAAAGTCGGTTCTGTGTGCTTTTGCAATCAGAGGATAACGTGTGCAGCTGAGCATGAGACTGGGTCAGTTGTCGTCGACAACGCCAATAGTTCTGCAGCAGTTCAGTCAATTCATGGTTTTCTTGTCGGGCAAGTGCGGAGAACTGGGTTTCACACACTTCTACACCTTCTAACCATGAACGCAGGCCTCCTCCGGGCTCCCAGACACTGAGCTGCTCAAGTGAGAATGCCTAGGAAAGATAAAGAAAGGATTTGTTAAACAATATAAATGCGTACACACATATAATATATATATATATATATATATATATATATATATATATATATATATATATATAAGTGCAATATTGTGTATATTTAACCTGAATTTCTGGAGTTTTTGGTAATTCCGGATAAAGTTTACTCTTTGAGGTCTCTAATACAGTTTCAAGACTTGGTGGAGAGGACTCTTGTTCTGCAAGAGCCAAAACGGCAGGCTGTTGTCCAGAGATTTTTGGTGCTTCTTCACAATAAGGTACAACATGCTGCTCCTCCAGAGCATGTAGAGATGGGTACAGAGCCGAGGCACATGGGGTGGTTGGGGTTTCAAATAGTGCGGAGGTATACGTTTTACTCCAGGATGAGTCAACTGATTTCAACTCTAGTGTCTTTGGTGCGGGTTCAGACAATTTGTCATTTTTGTGCTCTTCTTCTGAGTTTTTCAATTCTGAGGATCTATTGGATAATTCATCCTTTGACTGTAAAATCATTGCAGATGATGCTTGTGACTGCTGGTCAGATGACTCTTCCAGAGGCTTGGCTTTCTGTGACTGAGCTGGTTCGTCTTGCTTGTCCTCTGGTGGGCTTGGGGCCTCTGTCTGATGTGGTAAACTAAGAGGGATGTCTGTAAACTCTGCAACATTTGTGGAAATAGCGTCTCTTGTTTCTTCTTCATATTGCTTTGCCTTCCTGCCCACCTGAAATGTAAACAAACAACATCAATGTGGATCTAAAGTTAGATAGCAGTTAAATCCGAACAGTACTATGAACATTGCTTGTTATACCTGGGACTTGGCTGTATTTTTAGACTTTGTCTTCTTAGGGCGGACCGCCTCCATATCACGTCAGTAGACCCGAGTCTGGTCAGTGTTGTAATAACATAGGTATTATACTTGAGGATCTATTTATTATCTGGATACAAACTATCACAGCTACTGACACATATGCAAGTTATTGGCGTAATCTGTTTATCTGTGATGTCAAGAAGAAACTATCAGCAGCTCCGAGACAACACCATCGTGTCCAGCGTTGATAAATGTCCAGAGACCGTCATGTGACGAGAAAGTCATTAGTAGGAAATTTACAGAAAAAGGCCATTCGAGAAAGATAAAAACTCACTGCAGATAAACACCACTCACAACAAGCGAGCTCCGCAGCGGGCTGTGTCGACCCCGCTGTACCTCCACATCTCAAATACAACTACATCCATCCGTAATGTTCGTCCGTGTTTTCATAAATATAAGACACTATAGATCCGTGTAACGAGAGGGAAGGCTTTAGTCTTTGTGTCGTTGACGGTCACCTGTCATTTGTTTTGTTTTTCTCCAAGAACTCACGCAATCTCTGGTCATGTGACATCACCACCAACGGAAGCCGCGTGAGGTCACGATACAGTCTAGGCCGGGTGCATAATACAAACATGCTCTATTATTGCCCATATTGACCTATGATTTGACAGAGCTTGAGGGCATACACTAATATTATTACAAGCCTTTTTTTGTGATCATTTTTTATGATTATATATGTGAATACTATATTTTCCTGGGTGCACAAATATTTACATGTGTAAGTAAATAGGAATATTTTAAATAGATATCACAAATGCCCACGTAGTGTCTTATACAAAATACAAAAATAAAACAACATAGATGTTATTGTATTTAAAAAAAAAAAAAGGTATATATTTCCAGTGTTTTTCTAGGCACATACATTATACTGGTCTATAATTGCTGTGAGAGTGGTTGCTGATATTTAGCTGTTCGCTTGATACTTGTATGGAGAGTTGTTGACGAGCTGCAGGGTGGAGTTCTGTTGCCTTGTGAGTTCTTGCTGCACACCCTGTATAAAGGAAGGCATTCTGCTTTGTATTCCTGACTTGGTAATTCTTCTGCTACGAGTGAAGGATGTACATATGCTTGACTCAAAGCCAAGCTTAGAATGTCCATCTTTTCTTTGTAGAAGCGCAGCTCTTGACCTCTTTGTCGAGCTAAAACCAACTCCATTTGAGCCAAATGTGACTCGTCTCCAATCCGTCCAGGAGTTCTCTTCTCTCGACTGAGCCAGTCCAAAGCCATGCTGCTGCGTGTACACTCATCAAAGCCTCTTTGAGAATAAAATGAGATCACACTCTGAAACACACAAGAGAAAAATAAAAAAGAGAAATAAAAAGATGTGTAACCATCTTTTTTATTTACCTGCCGAGAGAATTTTCTTTCCCTCAGGGCTTTAAGGGTTCCATTCCAATGCAACAACTGGAAAATTGTCATCATTTCCTTGAATTCAAAATGTATGTATTGTTTAAAAAAAAATCTTATTAGTGAATATTTTCAGAGCTCAGGTTTACCTGGAACTCCAACATACTCTTCCCAATGTAAGAGTGAAGCAGCAAACTGTAGGTTCCAAGACTAGTGTGGGAATTTCTGGCATCCTCAATAGACATCTGGAAAAATTACATCTATTCAGGTCAACATGTGCATTCTACACAAATATTATTATTCATTAATAATAATAAAGTTGTAATGCAACAAGTAATACTAGAACAATTGAAATGTAAAAATGATGATTATCTGTGGACTGAACTCACAGAGCTGTCGGATGTGGCCTGTTGCAAACTTTCAGTAATGAATTGTGACGTGATCTGGCGACACGGCAGCTCATTTACCAGAGAGTTCATTAAGGCAACGCGAGCTGCATCTCTTCGGGCCTCAGCCTGAGTGCTACAGATCTGCAAAATAAAGTTGAATAAATACAATTGCATTTTTTTGCATCTTTATTGTTCATGCCAATTATACATACAACGAACAACGCCTTTTTTCTTCTTTTTTTAACGACTGTATTAAAGAACAATATCTCTCAACACAACATTGGAATGGAAATCATAAACTAAATATATCATCAATAAACAAGCATTACTGTTAAAAGGTTGCAACCTAAATAGTTTGATGATATTCTATATTTCAAAAATAAAAATAAAATCAGTAGTGGGACCACGCCTCAACCCCCTCCCCTTTGTCTCCAGCCAACCACATTTTGCCTCCTTGTCCACTCATCAACCAGAAGCCATATACAGTGTTTTTCAACCCGTGTGCCTTTGGACATGATCCTTGTCACCTAATGGTCAAAATAATGTGAGGAGAAAACATTGTGAGAAGACGAGATAGACTTTTAAACGTGTTTGATTTTTATATACTTTGATGAGAATGATTTTGCTTTATTATTAATGGCTGCAGTTTCATGTCTGTATCAGTCTCTGCTGGTGGTGGGCCATGAGGTTGGGTAACACTGTTCTTGCTACCCCATCTCTCGTGCTTATTTCAGTCTCACACCCTCACTGGTCCCCCCCCCACCTAGTCTCACCCAGCATCACTTTTGAGTGAAACAGTGAATAGAAGTTATATACTATACACTGATACATGATATACGGTATGGCTATGGTTCTTTTTCAGAGAATATTGGACCAGAGTACCTTGTAGTTCCCAAAGCAGCTCCCCCCAGGCAGGGTGACATAGCAGGCACAGGGGGATCCAGGCACTGACTCGTACAACAGCAGACTCTCTGTCCGACTCTGGTCTCCCACTGATTCAGAAGTTGAGCTCTTGGTTGGACTCTTTCGCTCCCAAAAGTTATGAAGCATAGCCACCACATTCACTGGACACAAAGAATGTGGCTCAGTATAACACACTTAGCAACTATTTTGTTGTTGATAAAATCATCAGCCTTTTCCTTAATGAAATATTACAGCATAATTTCACAAGGTGGTCGGCCAAAGAAGGCATTAATACTCACAATCATTCAGTCTGAGGTCCGACTCCCAAAGTGGCAGATAGAAGCTGCTGCAGTCCTCAAATTTTTCTTCGCTCATCCTTGATAAGTTTGTCATCCGGTTTTTCCTTTACCTCACTTCTAGTTCATTTTTAAAACAGTACCATAAATCCAAACTAAAATAGGGAATGCCCTCTGGCAGTGTTTGTGCCTGTTCCCACCACCGTCTGTTGTGTGAACGTCTCTCTGGGGTTTCTTTTCTGAAGCAGACCACCTTTGTCACCCTCTCTGCCAATTAGCTTAGGGCCCCCTCACTCTTTATACATGCACACACACACACACACACACACACAACACACAAACCAAGGTGCAGCCCTGGAATGCCGCCCTCCCCTTGAGCCATACAACGGGCTAATCCTTGAACAGCAAAGTTATTCAAGACCAGCAATGATATCTCAGAGTGGAACTGCATACTTGTTACGTATTGTTCAGTATTAAAATATTAACCGTTTTCCACAAAACATGTCTCCGACCACAACATCCTAAAGTTTATCTAGTTCAACATCTTACCAAAATGCACTCTGAAACTTCTGAGTATACGCCTGCAGCTGCTCACAATGAGTACCATCTAAACATCAATTTCCCTCCAAGAATTTCCAAACGTGGCCTTCACAGTATCACCACTTAGCACAAAACGAGATTTATGATGATTAATCCAAAGGAAAATTCATTTTTAAATTTAAACAATAAACACCAGCAATAACTGAACTGAGATGTTATTTTAAATTCATGATCTACATTCAATAAATTGTTATTCATGACATTTATTTCCTGGTTGACTGAAAAACATTAAATCTGATTGCCTGTTATCTTACATGATGTGGCAAAGAATTTTAGGGGCATAGGGGTAATCCTAAACTATGGGTGTAAATTGAAATAGTGCGCACAATTTTAGTGGTTTTGTTCTGCACGACATGCACGCTGAATCAGTTTGAATCAATGTTAGGGCTGCTAGTCCTTTTGCACTCCAACAAACTTGAAAAAAAAAAGCATCAATAAATAATTAAGAATACAACGGCATTTATTTGCTTAACAAAGCACAAATAACTGATATATAAGTCAGTTGGTGAGTGATCTTTATTTGTATACCTAAAATAATAAAGAGTATTTACAAAATGTGTTTCGTAGGTTATGATAAAATTACAGTACAGTTTAAATTAATGGTTCACTTCGTTGATAAGAAAGAAATGCCTTGATGCCGTTATTGCAGTGCATTCAACCCCAGAAGTCTGCACCTTCCAAACTGGACTTGATTGTATTTTGTGTGTCTCTCCTAGATTTTGTCACCAGGTTGGCCTCTCCTTTCTGGAGCCGTCTTCTCTGTGCCTCTTTTTGATGTTTGGAGAGTTGTCTTCGCACCTTTTGTCGCACCACCTCCTGGAGAAAACATGTCAGTCACTGGATCCACAATTTACATTTATAGGTGTCATTATTTTTTGTTTAAAATAAAAAAATCACATACATGTGGTATAGTACTGCAACCTCCAATACTTCCCAATGTGTTTTCACTATTTGTCCTTTGTCTTCTGTGTTCCGCAATATGCAGAAGACTCTCTGGGTCTCTGAGAAAAACAAAACACATAAATAGGCTAATTTATAAAAAATCTTTACAAGGAGCACCCCCAAACTGATTTATGTAATTTCCAATTGACTTTGGTGAAGACGTTATATTAAACTTTGTATTTCTAATAAACTCGACATTAATGATAGCATTTAAAGTTTTGCTAACCTTCCTTTCAGTGAGTAAACTTACCTAAAAGGTTTGAAGTCTTTGTTGGATGTAGAAAGATGTGGTAACTCTGGACACTCATCGGGGGCTTCTACAGCCTCATCCTCGATCACTTCAGTCTCAGTGCTGTGGTTTTTTGCAGAAGAGTCTTTCTCTTCTCTTACACACAGTGTTTCGTCTGTTGTGTCTCCATTTTTGAGACCTTCAAGTTCCAACAATGCATGCTTAAATTCTTCTAAATCTATTGGGGCTTTTGGCTCATTTTCACTAATTTCTTCCTCATCAATAGTCTCTTCGTCATCTTCGTCATCCTCTTCATCCTCAGGTCCAGCAGGGTGCAACCAGTCACTATCCTGTTCCATTTCTTTTGTGAAGCCACTTGCTGAGACTTCCACATCAAGAGAACATGACCGCCTAGATCAAAACACAATATCAGAGATTATTATGAAATACCACAAATTAATTAACTAAATCTCAAAGAAATAAATCTTACCTTATGTCTTGGAAGGTTGGGTAAAGCTCACTCTCATAGTTGTATCGTTTGGCAAAGAAAGCCCTGATGCACTTGACATCGCGGTCAAAATACCTTAAGACATGTATTAATGAATATTTCATAATAACTCTATATTTATTAGCCAGTAGAAAATACAAACCATTCAGCGTTAGCGTGTGATGTTGAGACCATCTGGGGAAAGTCAATCATAGTTATGTGATCCTGGTCATCCAACATCAGATTGAACTCATTGAAGTCTCCGTGTATTAAACCGTGATTTGCCAGTTTCACAATAAGTTCCATGAATTCATTATAAAGGGCTGGAGGATCTTGCAACTCATGAACTTGGCAGCTGAAATACAATTGACATGTGAGCATAAGCAATGGATATGAGTAACTTCTAAAAGTAAATTATGTACATACAGAGGAAAACCATTGATCAGCTCCATGACCACAGCATGCCTGTTGTAATCAATTGGTTTGGGAACAGGAAAACCTCTATCATACAGTGCCTGCAAAAGAAAATAATAAAAAACATTAACTTTGATTCAATGTCTGCTTATCAACTGTGCACTTACCTTCATATACGCAAACTCTTTCATGGCAGAGAGCCTGGACAAGTAGAGCCAGGACATATTCTTTCGGTGTTTATGGTAATCTCTCTTAATTTTTAAATTTCGGAAAGATGTGCGACCCAATCTGTGAAGTTTCAAAGCATACTGCTCCTCATTTGGACTGGCCACGATGTAAATATCTATAGTTCATAAATCAATGAGTTAATTCATGGCATATTACATTGTCTGGTAGGAATGGAAACAATATAGTTATGCATTACCTGATTCTTTACCCACTCCCATCTGATTGCCAACAGAGACAATGACATCCCTAGCGCACAATGTTTTTAGGGCAAGATAATCATACCCTCCATAGTTTAGTCTATATCCTTGAACCGCTGAAAAATAAGAAAAACATAGAAGTTGGCTGTTGGTAATTAGATGTGTAGTCGAATCAGTCATTTTGTTTTTAGTCGACCAACTATTATCAATTAATTGCTTTCTTTTTTTAAATTGTTTTCTGTGGAAAACAGAATTACTGTTATTACTGTCACTAATTATCTAAATTTTTCAATCCCCTTTTAAATTATGTTTATTGTTAAAACTGCATGGCTGAAGTCTCGTAAATACAGCTTGGTTCAAATACAGAATTTATAGTTTTAAGAGCTTTCGCCACAACCCATTTATATTCGCACCTTATTGATAAGACCAAGCCTGGACATAACTAGTAGAACACAGTTAATATTAATTTCTTACACTTGGTGCGTTCATAAACCACCAGCTTGTGTTTGACGAGCTCCCGGAGAACCTTGTTACAGCCTCCGTGTCTCAGACTGGCAATGGACGACAGCAGACCGACAGGAACAATTTCGTGGTTCTTCATCCCCATTTCCACCTGATTAAAGGGGGGGAAAAATGAAGAAATAAGAAAAAGATCTACATGGCTTGCAACGACAAACAACTGTTCGACCTACCGCTGTGAGTACGCGGAAGTCATCACGAGATAAGTATCGTAATATGACCACGTTGAGCTTTCCCATGTTTTACCTTGAGATAGAAAAGCTACAGTTTATAAGAGAGGAGAAAACAAAATGCCAAAAACTGGTCTTCGATGTAAACAACACGTGCAATCCTGACACCGGAAGTGCTGTTCATGATCGCGCTCACCGGCGTGTACTGCCACCTAGCGCCATGTTTGGAATTGAAGGAGTGAAAACAAACTGCGGAAAATTAATGGTAAAATAAATAAAATATAATGCAAGCAATTATATATACAATACACATCTAGCAGACCTAGGACTGCTCAGAAAACCTGAAGAATTTAAGGACACAGAGTTTTAGTTTAGGAAAGAATAGTATTGTATAAAAATGATTCTCAATTAAGGAGGGGTTGAAGTTTTACATAGACGGTAAATATTATTTTATACATAAATCAATGAATATTACGCCTGATGAAATGAGTTACTAACAAAAAATGGACACCAGATGGCACTGTGACACAATAGTGTTCAACGCCTGCTTTTACTGGCTTGGCCTATGGATAGCAAGTGAGACCTATTTCAGTAATCTACTAGTTGCAATCAATTGATTAACTAGTATCAGCCTGTGAGTAATGATTTGTGTCCCTGGGCAAGACACTTAACCCCACTTTACCTGAAGCCCCCGAAAGATCAAGGCTATGATGTCACTGACAGAGCAGCCATCCTCCTGGGGGGTCGCCACTTGCAGGAGGATCAGTGAGGGGCTTCATTATGAATTGACATCATGGATAGACCTCTAGTCTTATGTCTTGGGTTAGTAGTTATATGGTATTACTGTTATTGTTTCTTAGTTTTATTCTGTTTCAAGGCCAATTAATGTACTTTTCCCAATGCCTTTGTGGGTGTTTCTTTGGGTGATTTAGCAGTCGTCTTATCCAGATAATGTCACAGTGATGGAAAGTTGCGAACAACTCTCTAACAAACAGCAATCCATAGTCACCCACACTAACCCACATCTAGGGGTCTTATCTGTGTGTGTGTGTGTGTGTGTGTGTGTGTGTGTGTGTGTGTGTGTTTGTTTGTTTGAGTCTATGTGTGTGTGTGTTTGTGCCTGTATTGTATGTGTGCATGTGTATGTGTGTATATGTGAGAATATATGAGCATTTGTCTGTGGCATCTACTCCTGCAGCCGTGAAATGAGACAGTCTACCCCTATCTGTTATAAAGTGTTTAAAATCAAGTGATGGCTTATGCTTGTCAAGAGCGATGAGAATGTAAAATCTAATGGAAATACTTCCATGCTAGGGCTTTTTAATGTGACTTAATGAGGTGAACAGAAAAGAATATTTTTCACAATGTCATAAAACATTCAACTCAATCAAAAGTGCTGTCAAGTGGAAAAATGCAGACTCAAGTTTTTCTTTAAAATACTTCCAAATTAAGTGAGAACCAGGTGGATTCAGACACTTCAAAGATAAATTGAGCAATGTAAAAGAATACAAATAAAAAGTGCAAATGTATCCCCATATTGTGAAAAATAGTAAAAAATCTCTCTCTCTTTAAAAGAAAAATTGCATATTGCACTACTTAGTTGTATTTACTTATTATCTCACAGTTCTTTCCTATAGTTCTGCCCCTCTCTCGAATCATATACTTTGAAACTTTGAAAACTAGAAAGTTACAGGACTGTCCCAGCTCGGTCTTGTTAAACCCCAAAGGACAACTAAAATGTGCCGTACATCTGACCAACAGAGGCGTCTTGTCTGAGACTGCCAGCTTTGCTCGAGCTGCTGCTGTGGGAGAAGTGAATTGAGCGCACACGCTTCACTCACAAGACAGCTCATAGCAATAACAGCATTGCAAAGCATGCTGGGTAATTTGGTTAAAGATGTCAGGAACGTAAATCACCTCCAATCAGCCCTGCTTTGCTATTGGTCCACTTTTCTGACTCTCGATGGACTCCATTGGCTACTGCCAGAGTTTACTGTATTTGATTGTCTGCTCACAAGACAAGAAAAGTAAGCGGTTTATTGTTTTATTGATAATTAAAAAATAGAATAGAAAAAGCAAAGCCATGCTGATCACTTGCCAATATTTCATGGAGCATGTCATTTCTTCTTCTCAGCAAACCTAATTACTTCTTTATTTTCTTGTTTCACCTGAGCATGACAGATTATAGCTTAAGAAAAGAAGAAAAATACACCAGAGGGATGCTATATTTAAAAATAGTGAATGTTAGTCATTAACTTGATCAATTAATACCATTGTTATGTTTTTATGTAGAGATGTTTTTTCAAAAATTTCAAAAATGATATAAAATAAATAGTCAAGTCTGAATATTCCATGTCCCATGTTGTTTATGACAGCAGCAGAGGCAGTGCTTGCTATTCCTGGCTCAAGTGTAGCAAAAATAGTCTAGTCTTGTCACATACATACACTGGAAAAGTTCAAGGCTTTGGTATTTTCTTCTTCTCTTCAGTATGTGGAACAGACTCGACAGTTCGGGGTCTTCAAACAATACGTGAGTCCCCATGACGCCCTGCTGCATATCTACTGCTAATGATCACTTGTTAAGCACATCACACACCTGCGCTCTCACTCACAGGGCGTATATGTACTTAATGATTCTGAGCAGGGCACGTCTCTGGCCGCTCCGCCTGCTCTTTCCCCGCGGCTAAAGACCTTGATCACAAACCACAGCAACATTGATTGGGAATTTGGGATGCCACGGACACGCAACTTTTTCCATGGACTTAACAGGTTGTAATGGAAAGGCAGGTAGAGCTGGTGGAGTTAACACAGGAAACTATAGGAAAAAAAAGCTCAAGCTGAAGTGACGAGACGATTTCCATGAGACCAGATACAACATGAGAAAAGAAATTGGCTCCACTGTATAGAGAGAAGACGAGATTTTATTATTTAATTGATGAAAAAATGCAAAGGCTGTGTTTTGATTCGTACAAAAGTATTATAGAAAACAACAATCATAATTTCAGCCTTAGAAGTTATAATTTATTTTCTTACATTCATTGTTGCACTGCTTTAGTGTTCACAGTGTTGAGTAACTAGACCTTGCCCCATCATAATGAAGTAAGCGTTGCATGTGAAAGCCAGATCCCGTCAGACCTCCGAAGTTGTGCAGGGCAGGGCCTGGTTAGTTCTGTGATGGGAGACCTCTGTGGGGCGGGTTCGGCTGTAAAGTTTCAAACTGTTGTTGTTTCCAAGGCAAGACAATTCATCCACTTGAATGAATCTGGTGTGTGTGAACAGTTGGTGGTGGTCGGAGGGGCTGATGGTACATACTGGTTCCATTGCTTCTGTTGGTATGCCCCAGGGCAGCTGTGGCTACATTAGTAGTTTATCACCACTGTGTTTGGAGTGAAACAATAATGGCTCGTGAACCCTCTTTGAGTGTCTAAAAAAGTACTATGGTACCGATGCATTATTCATTTTTTAATAATAATGATTTTGTCAAAAGGATTTAGCCTAAAGTTAGAACCTGGAGCACTTTATTTTTTTACATACGAGATGAAGTTCATTTGTCAACTTTTTCTATTGTACCTTTTTCAGATTGATAAGTTTTGTGTTTGTGAAGCACTTTGGGCAGCTGGTGTTGAACAGTAATGGGCTATAAAGTAGACATCGATACAAAGAGTTCAATGCATTTATTAACCTTTTGAGCACAGGTTGTAGTACAAGTCTTGCAGAGCTTTGGTATATTTTTCAGAAGGCGGCCCAGGGTGACGGACAGTGAACAGGGGCTTGCAAATGGTCAGCCACCCACTGGGAAAAAGCCATCCCACCTTGAATGTTTACTGCACAGGGAGCACTCTATGCAAGGCTACGGTTCTCTGTAAATATTCTCGGTATGTGAGCGTGGTTTCTCCTGCGGGGTTCTGAAAATTCTTCTGGAAAAACATAAGCCTGTGTGTAATCCAGGTGCATGTGTCCAGTGCAGTTGTCAGATGCCCAGACCAAATCAATATGTCTCTAATCTATGGGCTCATGATGTGATGGATTACCTCATAGTCGGGAGGTCCCAGCCACGGCCGGGCGCAGATTCACAGGCACAAACACACGCCGCTCAGTTCAGCCAAGCATAAGAATTGATTGCTGTGATATGAAACTAGAGTAGATTGGTTTTGTCTCAGGCACACGGTTGGAGAGACAAAATGGTAAGATGATGGAAGCAGAAAAGATACATGTTGTTTGGTTTCTTGTTGAATCAAATATGTCGTAGAATAGGATAGTTTAATTCATATACTTGCTTTTGTAGGCTATTTTCTTTTCTTTTTAAACATTTAGTTTTTGCATATTTTTAAACGCATTTTGCCCATTGATATTCTGTGCAGCAATAACTCATCTGAACTCCAGTTGCCGGTGAGGTCTGACTTTGGATCACACCGTCAACACATAAAAATTCATATCACTTCCGCTGTTAAGAATTTCTCATTTCCACAGTGTATTTGGAAAAACAAATCCACTTTCTAACTTCTCCTTGTGAATGTATTGACGGATATGAGTCTGGTGTAGCTTAAAGGCAGACTATGTTGAACCTCCAATCAAAATAAAATGAATGCTTACCCAGTGGTAGTACCAGTTGCACTTATGCCAGTGTAAATCTCCATTTGGCTTTGCTTGCTGGTGTGAGGTATTTGAGAAGGTGAGGATCTAGGAGAATATTAAGATGTCTCAAACTCAAGATTTTGAGTCAAACTGGACAGGAGGTGTTCTGCTGCCTGATAGGTTGTAAGTTAAATCGTTTTTTTTCTCCATTCCTTTTCCTTTCAGTGGAGAGACCAATGCTCAGACATCAAACCTAAGAAATAAATCATAAAATGTGTTAATTTTTTGTCCCAACAGAAAGAGTTCCAACATGCAGTCTTCATCTCATTAGAAATGTTTTGATGTTTGCCATACTTGTAAAAGAGTCACTATTTTACATACTGTAGCTGAGAGCTGAGACCACAACATACGTGCATGTGCATTGATATTTCTATTGTAGTCTATGGGGAAAACCAGGAATGGAACCAAATGGTTTCGAGAGAAAAGATCTAGTT